AGTCTCCGAAACATAAATATGCTCTAAGAACTGCCTGGCCATACAGTTAAAAACAGTCTGAAAAATAACTTGTTTCAATTCACTCTTAACAAATTTCACAATATTTTTTTTTCTCACACAAATTCCTCACTGCTATCTTTGCCAGCTAACATCTCTTCTTGACATTTGGTCGCAATTTTTTTACACGAACTTTGACTCCTAACAGTTCACTTTTAGAGTATGAAAACGAAAGGAAGGAAAGAAATTAAAATTAGTTCATGTGTAACATTCGAATGTCACATTGTCTCATCCACAATTCTCCATCTTGAAGTTGCTGTAAAATTGTAAACAAAACAAAATATAGTTTTTATAGCCAATAACATTCCTCCACACAAGTTGACGGTATTTTCACATTCTTGGTCTCGTTTTAATCACTGCTCAAATGTGACAGTCTGCACTTTACTGCATTTTTGACAACATTGTGAAAAGTCACATTTTGTTTTATTTATGTCACCATGGGCAGTTTTCTCTCAAATTGAAATTTTTTGTTTCCAACAGTAACACAAAGTCACAATACACAATTTTTGTCAGAATGAGTATACATGTACCCAATAGTCTATAGATCGATCTGTCAAGAACAGGAACCTAACAACTTAACAAGGTTACTGTACATAATATGATAATAAAGGGTATATTTTTATCGTTTTTTTGATCTAATGATCATATCCAAAGGAGTGAATAAGAAAACAGCGTTTTAAAATTTAAATATGTTATATTAGAAATTTTAAATTTAGGACTGACAGCATTCAATTACAATATGGTACACGTGTAGATTTGAAAGAAAGTATGTCAAATAAAATTCAGCACTGAATAAGCTGATGCTGATGTAATAAAACAAATTTAAAATCTAGCACTCGTTTTTATTCTCTCACGTTCTGTTATTAATTTACATAAATCTAGGATTGACCAATGAAACAATGAACACGCTAGCAAATGACTCACTGATGAAGGAAATCCAACATCTACATGACAACAAACTCAATTCACTTCCGTACCGAAGGTCGAGAATCGAGTTTCAATTTTTACAAACTTATTCGACGGTTTTTACTTGAACACATTTTCTAACAAATCAAAGAAATATAATCTAAATCGATTTTAAATTAAGGATAAATATATATTCAAAGTTAAAACACTTACTTTAAAATTATTAGTTTAGAATCAGTAGGCCTACAGAAAACGGAACAAAGAGCCTATCTTATCTTCTTACATGCACGTCTAACTCAGCCGCCATTTTTATTTCACATTTAACTTCCTTTCCTCCACTTTATCAAAATTGAAGAGTTCTCCGTTTTGAAGCAGGATAATTTTTTTAAATGTTTGAATTAAAATTGTTTAAATAGATTATTTATCATATAATCAGTAGTTGCTATTAATATGACTAACGATCTTTAACTGAAATTGTTGATCGATGAGTAACTTAATAAAAATTCTTTTGAAATTTTGAATAAAGAAATAATTTTTGTTTACAAAGCTTCATTTTGTCTTGTTTATCCAGCCGATCGTCCAAATGATAGTATAGGGAAACATGTCTTGTTGATTGAGTCTAAATTTAAAGGGAATGTGTTGGGTTTTAAATTAAAAAGAGATTTTTTTAAACATAATTTAAATCAAATGAATTATGTTAATTATCCTTTTATCAGATTTATTGTCCACAAAATATATAGATTGGTATTAGGCCTACTCATTTGTGAAATGTCAATGATACGTCTTTGGCTATAATTCAATGAATTTATAGCCTAATATTAAATTTAAGGTACTGTAACACTATATATTCCATGAAATTCGAAAATTCTAATTAGAATTCAATATTGGTCCATTTCAATCCATATTGGTGTTTTTATCGTGTCGTGAAAATATGGGATCCTATTCTATACTAATATTTATGTTTGTCGTTTTTGTTCGGGGTTGATGGCTCTAGGGTCACAATTGATTTTATACATTTTATTGCATTAATATGCTTTAGACACATTTTTCTGTATTTTAATGTTGCAAAGAATAGAGCCATATGCAATTTAAAGAACCCCAAAAGTTGATATTTGTCGAAGAATAGCCGCAATCGTTGCTTGCCGGGCAAATTTTCCTTCATAGTATTGTGTATGTCAGTGTTCATCCACCTAGTTTCTGCAGACCAGACAATCTGAATATCATTTCATCGGGCCTTGAGTTCACAAAGCATTCTCAGACTTAAGTTAAGAATTTACTCAAAATTGTTCGCCTTTTTAAAACTGAAATATAGCCCTTTATGAAACTTTTGTTGTTTTAATTAATATATATAATACACCAATAAGAAACTATGTGCAAAGTTTGTGTTTTTGGATCACAGATATTTCTCATAAACAGTGATTGAAAGTTGAGTAAATTTTTGACTTAAGTCTGAAAATGCTTTGTGAACTTGGAACCTGTTGAGGAAGCCATTTATTCACAAAAAACTTAAAGAAGCATTATTTAAGATTTAAATAAAGACCAGACAGTTCTCGCTATAATAATTAAAAAATAGATATTGAAAAGGGAATATGTTGAAAATTTCAGTCAAATTACTTCATTCTGAGTGAAGTTATGAATACAGGGTACAATTTTTATGGATACACAATTACTGAGTTTAATACTAAGCGACGTTTCGAAAAGGATACTCTCGTCTTTATCAAGTAAATGATACAGGTATGTGATAAAGACAAGAGTATCCTTTTCGAAACGTCGCTTAGTATTAAACTCAGTAATTGTGTATCCATAAAAATTGTACCCTGTGTTATTATGAACAATTACTAAATGCCAATCAAAGAAGAAGTTATGAATGTTTTTATAATCTTTAAGAGGCATTTAGTAACTGGGTAGAGCAATACACAAAAAACACATACTTATGGAAAAACAGCTACTTATTTATTAGGGCGACGTTTCGAAGAGTATTCTCTCAACGTTATCAAGCTAATGTGTTTTGATAACAATAGTCGTCTCGATTTTCATTGCTAACATTTCCATTTTTAAATTAAATTATTAAATGGCGATCATGTTTCAATCCATCAAAAATCACAACCACCCAATAGTCTAGAGAGTTGATTATGGGCTTGTCATGTGAATAATTGTCTAATTAATGATTTATATAACATTGAGGCAAAAAAGAAAGACCTGTATTTTGCAGATTTAGCTCTTAGATAATGTATTTGTAAACGAAAAATATTCATTCGGCAAGACTAAATCTGCATTCTTAAACTATTTCTGGTTAGCATATGCGCGCTATATCATAAGGTCTGCCATTGAGTCAACTGGCGGGGTTACGATTCCCCGGTTGTACGTGACAAGGAGTAGGGTCACCTGTCCAACCTCTTGGGTTTTCTCCGGACCATGTTAGTCCCAAAATGACCTAGTTTGTGTGGAGTGGACATTAAACACCATTTTTGCTCTCTCTTAAACTATTTCAGTTTTACAATGCATTATGTAAGATTTAGATAATTCACAAATAGATAATGGGACAAAACTGAAGCCAAAAGAAAAGGATAGGTCTTAATGCAGATTTCGTCAAATTTCACAAGATGTAAACTATGCTAGTGCTAACCCTAATCCCAGACAAAACCATTACCTCAACCCTAACTCACAGTCCCATCAACAATACTGTTTACATCTTGCAACCGTGACTAAATCTGCAGTTGGCCTTAATATTTACACCTAACCCCCAAATAAAGTTGTTAAATAGACAGATTTAGCTCCTACATCTTTAGTGTATAAACATAAACAGGGCTTGGTAAAGGAAAACATATAGATTCGGATGGGATGCAAAACCAGAGTCTCATGTACATATTGGTTTGCACGACGCATGTAAATGATTCCTTGGCAGTTGGAATTTATAGAAGAGTAGGCTGTAGTGCCGCTGTCCGAGCAAAATTTCCCTCATAGCACACTGTGTAAGGCATTATGCCTGTCCTTCATTAGCTCAATCGGATGATGGGGACACACGATTGAACTTACTGGAATTATAGTCTCTTAAGTACAAAAATATTGACAAACGAGTGAAAAGGGGATTTCAGACTACAAGGTATGCATGAGTGAATAGAAAACATGTTTCAAGATCGAGCATTCCCCTTTATAACACTTCAGGTAATTCAGGGAGGAAATCTTTCATAGCACGGAGTCAACATTTTGTTCATCTGTTTAAGGCCTACATACTTTCTATCAATCTTTGTGTTCAGTATTAAGGAAGAGAGAGAAATGGGGTTTAACGTCCACTCGACACAAACTAGGTCATTTCAGGACTATTATAGTTCAATTTTATTTCAATAATTTGCTTGTGTGGAGGGGTCTTTAGCAGTGGGAGGAAACTGGAGAAAACCCATGAGGTTGGAGAAGCGACCCTACTACTCGTCACGTACAACCGGTCAGTATAAAGGGACATATTTGCCAACACAGAAGTGTTTCTGCATATTACTCTGTTTCAAATTATACCACATACTAGCCAATTGGTTTATAAGACTCCTTGTCACCTACAACCTCATGGAGTTTCTCCAGTTTCCTCCCACTGCTAAAGACCCCAACACGCAAGCAAATTATTGGGATAAAATTGAACCATGTTAGTCCCAAAATGACCTAGTTTGTATCGAGTGGACGTTAAACCACATTTCTATCTCGGTTTATAAGTACTGCTCTAAAACAAGATACAATTCAAGTGTGTTGGTGGTATTAGTTTAGAAGCTAATATAGTTTTAACCATGAAACTATATAACTGGTTATACAAGTACTTGATAAGTCTATGTCCACTTACAACCCATAGACCAAAAACCAAAATACTTGATAGGCCTGTCCACTTACAAGCCAGACCATTCCAGCTTTTTTAAGCAAGCACTTTCTGGTATTCTATTCATACCCAACACCTTGTCCATAGGTATTTACAAATTTATTTTATTCTTCAATCTTATGCATTTAGACCTTTATGTCAGAAAGTCTTGTGAATCAAATAATCAAAACGAGAAAAATCTTTTTTTAAAGTGAATTTATCCATTTTCAAATTTAAAATGAACACATCATAAAATGAGCTAGCATGGGTGGGGGAGAGGGATGGTAATATGATTTAAACTAGACTACGTTTGTAAAATGTCACTATATCTATATATGGTAAAACAAAATGGATGATATGACAACATGACTATAACATTTAATCTAGAACATTAGTTCACACACAGGCAATATTTCTACAAATCGAGTGAAAGAATTTTATTATTCTTGTGATCACGTAAAATTGTTATAAACATCGTTTTACGACATTGCATGGTTGTTCTTAAACGGCACTTGCTTATTGTGCTACCTTTAATTCTCCAACATTTCCACAAATTACTTCAACAGAATGTTTTTTAAACATTGTTGATGTAACCAACCTTCGATTGTGTTAATAAAAATTCTATAGGTTAAAGAATTGTAGCTTTTACACAAGCAATTGGACCTTCGTCAGGGATTTTATGTTTCCGTTGACGCTATGAAGTGTTCTGACTAAAGCTCTAAGAAAAAATATTGCCGAGTGTGAACCGCGAAAACAATTAGAATACATCATTTTAATTCAAATCAGAGCACTATAGTATTCAACAAGAAAATATATTTATTACTCAAACTCCCATCAACTAGTCAATGATCCCGATCGAAAGGCGACACATATTTCCCTGAGAGGTGTGATAAATAGTTTTTACAACTGTTAATTATTCTAAAAGCAAAATACATTTCTCAGAAATTAAAGCATTGAAATACTTTTTAAAATGAAATTCATAATGACAGCAAGATACACATTTTTTACTTATGTTCATAATCATTCAAGCTATAATTTTTGGATAAATAAAATCAACTTCTCTGAAATTATGGAATGTGATATTTTACATTAAGTCAATTATTTTTTTATTTTTATTCTGTATGTCATTGAAAACTGACCAATTTTGGAGATAGATGTTCGCAAATTATTATTTGATATGTAGATCTTTTTATAGCAATGATGTCATGGCAGTGATATTAATTAGGGAAGAATAATCCACAGATTTTACCTTCCATATGAAAATTTATGAAATGGTGTCATACAACTCGAATATGATCAAATCGTTAATATTTCCCGTCAATAAAGGTCTTCTTGAACAGCCATTACTAACTTGAGATTTTTAATTACAATTGGAGCATGTGTTTATGTCAATTTTTAGAATCTTTACATCTTTGGCATGGTTTCGTTTCAACAACAAACATAGTTACAATAACAGGAAGACGATCGGGAACAATCTGTTAAAAGGCATTTATACAATATCGGACTTGGTAATCAACTGAACTAATTGAAGGCCAAACGAACTCTCACAGTGTTTACGTCGTCTTTCGTTTCAATCCAATTGTTCAAACTAGTCTCGAGTCCTATTTAAACAGTCAACTAACAATTTTTAACATCTAACACAACCATTTCTTTTTATTCATCATCATCGTCATCATCGTCGTCATCATCATCATCCTCATCTTCTTCCTCCTCGTCGTCATCTTCTTCGTCATCATCTTCATCATCCTCATCTGTTCCATTGACTTCAGGTTTCGACTTTTTAGCAGTTGGTGGTTTAAGACCCTAGGAAAAAATTGAATAAATTAAATGTTAAACTTGAGTTCGGAGAATACCTTTGGCTCAAAATAAATTAAATGCTAAACTTGGATAAGATACCTTCGGCTCAACAAAATAGAATTAAATGCCAAACTTGGATAAGAGTTCGGAGTATACATCAGCTCAAACTAAATTTGGATTGACACACCCACCCCATACAACGCTTCACTATGTATATTCAAGACATGAAATTGGGTTGAACATCCTACTGGGCTAATGAAGACAGGCATACAACATACAGTGTGCTATGAGGGAAATTTTGTCCGGGCAGTAGCACTATGGCCTTCTCTTACATCGAATTCCAACTGCCAATGTTTACACAGGACCTCAGTTTTTCGGCCATCCGAATGACTGGACAAAAAGATGCATATGCTGCTTTTAGACAACTTTAATAATCTATACTAATATTTGTGACTGTCGTTTGTCTGTCTGTTCAGGGTTGGCAGTACACTAGGTCTGTCCCGAGTCTGAAATTTGGGGTATAGGGGTAGCTCGGACCGGGGAGTAACATAGGCCAGGTGGCGTTAGTCTACCACATCCTGTTTCGGGGTTATGACCCCCGAGCGAAGCCGGTCATTCTTCTAGTAATGTATATTTGTAAACCATTCCTGCCATTTATTTAATTACATCAATCCACCTTGGTTATGTACACAAGTAAACAGATGTATTTTTAGTTCCGTTTTAATCGTTTCAAGTAATGGGCGCATTAATGCTTCAGACGTTTATTAACGAGAAATTTGCACATGCGATCATCTATACTAATATTTGGGACTGTCGTTTGTTTGTCTGTTCTGGTGGCTACACTAGGGCTGTCCCGGGTTATATGCACAACCCATGCAGCGTCCGGTCATCTGCTAGTAGTAAAATAAAAGAAACTATGTTAGTCCCAAAATGACCTGTAATTTACCTTGTTGTAATCTGCCATGGCAATATCATATTTTTTCTTTTCAACTTCACTGGCTTTTTCATAAGGTTTCTTAGCTTCAGCTGTTAACTTGCCCCATTCTACCCCAGCTGAAAATACAAACATTTAAACTTCATTAAAATTGCTAATCTCAGTTCTAGGGGAGTTGGATGGCTGAATGGTTAGCGTGAGCGCGCTGTATCATAAGGTCACGGAGTCAACTGACAGGGTTTTTCGATTACCCGGTTGTACGTGATAGGGAGTAGGGCTGTCTGTCCAACCTTTTGAGTTTTCTCCGGGTCCTCCGGTTTCCACCCACTGCTAAAGACCCCTACTCGCAAGCGATTTATTGAAATAAAATTGAACCATGTGTTAGTCCCAAAATGTCCTACATTGTGTCGAGTGGACGGTAAACACTATTTCTCTCTCTTAATCTCAGTTCTAAATGTAGGCATTTTGAACAAATACCAATCTGAAATAAGCATGAGCATACAATAAACCACATCATTCTCTGTATCCCCAGCGGTATTGTTCCGCTCCACCAACCTCTGGCTCCCTTTACAGGGGTTTTTACAAATTAAAATTAATTGCCCTTGATGATTTCATTGGCCATGTCATTGTTTACGTACACCGGAATATATAGCAGCTTGTACGTTCAATTATGATAATGTTTGCAAACAATGACTGTCTCCCCCGTGGAATGGACCCTGGGGATAGCAAAGACGACTATAGACCCAGAACCCTACCCTACTTGTGACATATCAAAAATCAAATTCCTTTAATCGATGCACAATTATCCAGGGAACATGACGATCGGACTGGAATTGTTGAAGTAGTAAGACTTTTTTTTTCGAAGAGAGTCGCTGATAACAAAACGATTAGCAGCTGGGCAGGTGGTGTGGTGTGCACACACACACACACATCCGCCCCCCCAAAAAAGAGGGACAAAGAGATTAACCATCTACAATAAAACAAAACCCTTGTAAACAATCTTACCGTTTTTAATAATGTCTTTATTTTCGACTCCCTTTGCCTTCATTTTTGCTCTGTAATCGGCTAAAAATAAGAAATAAGCAGACTGTGCTCTCTTGGGTTTATTTTCATCTTTATCTTTTTTTGATTTTCCAACTTTTTCTCCGGGTAGAGGAACGTAAGTTTTCATTTCTTTCTCAAATCTTAATTTATCTTTGGCTGCCTTGTCATCAAATTTCTTTTTTTCGTCTGCTTCAAGTGATCTCCATGAGGATGAACACTCTTTTGTGAATTCTGCAATCTAAAATTACGAGAGAAAATTTTTTTAAAAGATACATTATATAAGATTTAGATAAAGATCTGACTGTTCTTGCTTAATAGTTCAAAAATAGATACGGCAAAATAAATATTGAAAATTTCATTCTTATTTCTTTATTTTGAAATAATTCCAACAGACGATAGATAACATTTTTGTGATTATTATGGTGCGTAATACCCCGAGCGACAACAATTATAGCCGTAGAAAACAGGATTTATCTGTTTTGCTGACTGAAATTTGCTAAATTTAGACTAAATATAGCCAACTTTTTTGTGGATGTCGCCCAGATTATAAATATTTGGTACTAGCGATTCTGAAGGGAAAATACTGTTTATAACATCACACAGATATGAATGAAAACAACTTATTTTGGTGCCATGACACACATTGACTGTATCTATAGAGCATTTTGATTACATTATTGGCGCCAATCTTGGATTCAAAAATTCCATACAAATCTGGTTGTAAATAGAATATTTTGATGAAATAAAATTCTTTGGGCAGCATTCTATTAGTAAGTGCAGGGGGACGGCTCCACACATAATTTACACAAAAGCAAATACATTGACAAGGCATCATACTCAGAAACCAGAAATGAACAGACATCACACCCAGAAACCACAAATGAACAAACAATTCAAAAGGAGTGAATGGATCGGGGGCTATCACAAAATATTCTTAAATAAAATTTTTTGGCTGTCATTCAAAACTTTGACCTGAAACCCTTATTATCATCAAGAATCCTGATAATTTTATCAAATCATCAACCAACCTTTGATATGCTTCTTCCCTCTTCCTTTGCCTTTCGTCTACATTCTTCTAAGAAATAAAAATATGAGGATGTGGGCCTCTTTGGTTTATTTGCATCTTTCGTTGCCTTTCTTTTAGTTCCTTTCGTGGGTGAGCTTGCTGGCTTTGCACGTCCTGAAAATAAATTACTTTATCATTAGACTCTCACTTGGGTCAGTCTAATTTATTCTTATCACATAAAAGGGTAGCCTAATCTATAAGTACTTTTCATGCCTACAGATTAATTAAACAAACAACCAATGAGAACAACACCCCAAATTAGCCTAGTTAATTTGTCTGGCTTGTCTACATTGTAAAATAAAAAAAAAATCTGATTTTTTAAAAATTGTTAATTTTTTACACCACCATATTTTTCTATTTTTAATTTCTATTTCTGAATCAGTGAATGTTTAAAATGTTAGCTCTGATCTTGTTAGCCTAGCCTTTTATTTAGAATTACATTCTACATTGGCTTTTCAGTTTAAAATAATATTTCCATTCAATACTAGGTCTGGTCTGGTAAAGAATACTTTTAAAAAAATCTGTCCTAAATAAAAGGCCCTAAAAAAATAATTCGAATGCGAATTTTCTAATATTTGTGAGAGCGCTATAAAATCTAATTTGTGATACTGCTGTATCAGAAACAATAGCCTACTGAAGCCATTGAATTCATCATCAATCAAAAATCATAAGAAGACGCGCCTTTACACTGTCCTAGAACGAACACAAAATGTTAGGGACCGATCTAGTTAGATTCTAACTCCACATCCAAGGAGTACAATAAAATCTATGTAGTCTAACCACATATTTATGTATGGTTTGTTCCAGTTCAGTATATGTCGGGAATCAAAACCGTATTTCCGCATGAAATGAGCTGCAACAAAAGCAAAATGGCTAACAACAGTCTGCAGTGCAAATAATGCAAGATCATTGTTTGTTTTAGCTGTCAATGAACATTTTCTCGCACTAAACAAGGCGTCTGTTTACAAGCTGTATGCTAAAATATATCGTTGATACACCACATAGAGAGACGATAACCATAGTTTAAAAAGAAATCTAGCGGTTACTTACCCATTTTCACCTATTTTATCAACAGTTGATAGCGAGAGTAATGTCGACTAACTGCTACAGCTTGTGCGGTTTAAACCGGCTACGCTCACTATATAGAGCCTTTCACGTGGTCTATAACAAAGAGAGCCCCGTATGCATTTTCCCGCCACAAGCTGGTGTGACAAGGGAGGCAACTCCAGATCAAAGCCAATCACCGATTGGATGGGCTGTGCAGGTTTCTCAAATTTTTTATCGAATGAAAACATCAGATTACTTGATAGGGTGGGAATTCGACACTTTATTTAACCCCCAAAGCCAGATTATTTTTTCCTATTAAAATATGAAGATAAATAACCAATTATTGACATGTAAAATTGATAGTTACACAAACTTTGTTTTCGTGATTGGGATGTATCCTATTTACTTTCGTCGATGATGCTAATTATTTTCTAGGCAAGGCGAGCCATTTATTTCAGACAAAAATATATTTCTCAGAAAAAATGGGTGTTATAAACATATTAGTAGATTGGTTAGCCAATATCTCACTTCAAATCAATTTGAATTTTTTGTCACGAATCATTGAATTATTATATTCCTTAAGCGGAACACAAAGAGAGAGAGAGAGAGAGGGGGGGGGGTACTATCGTCCTCTCACCAAAAATCTGTTATATCGGGAGTTACATAGAATACAATAGAGAGAGAGGGGGGGGGGGGGGGTAACGTCCACTCAACACAAACTAGGTCATTTCGGGACTAACACATGGTTCAATTTTAGTTCAATAATTCGCTTGCACGAAGGGGTCTTTAGCAGTGGGAGGAAACCGGAGGACCCGGAGAAAACCTACGAGGTTGGACGTACTCCTTGTCACGTACAACCGGGGAATCGAAACCACGCCAGTTGACTCAATGGCAAACCACGCCAGTTGACTCAATGGAAGACCTTATGATACAACGCGCCCGCGCTAACCATTCGGCCATCCAACCCCCACGCCCTTTGAGGATGGCATACATTTTACAAAGTATATAAAACATATGATACAATTTTATTTCAATAATTCGAAATTAAGACAAGCGTGATATAGCTCTCTGTCTCTCGGTAAAATGTTGTGTTCGTGTAAGGAAGCTTAAATATCCTGCCTATATATTTAATACTGAAGGAAGAGATTTTCATCCATTAAAATATCCTAATTAACGCCAATGACGCGTGAAAAGATTTGTCATGGAATTCTTTCTAGAAACCATTCTGCGTGATTTACACACATTAATCCTTACATAACCCATTGTGTGGTGAAAGTTGAATCCGTTGAAACAACTCCTTTGTACTCGTTTTACTCGAACTACGAGCCGTCAACCCCTATTTTAATGGTATTAAAGGCTCAATACCACTCTTGTTGTAACTGAATAATATGTCCCAATCTTTATTCTAGTCAACAAATTGTACTATTTTACAATATTTCAATTAATTGATGATACAAATTTCATCTTAACACACCTTATTTAAAAAAATGGAAAAATTCAACTAAATGATTTGAAAAGCCTGACGTAAAGCTTTTCAAATGTGACTTGGATTTAAAAATATCTTTGAACCCTCTGGACAAGTAAAATAGGATTTAATGGATAATTTACACAACAGGTAGGACACTAACACATCTAGTACTTAGAATAAGGCTATATTGATACTGATAGTTTTTATTTTTAACATTTTACTCGACGCGTTATGCTTGTCAAGAGTCAAGTTATACGTCTATTTAAAAATAATAAATAAACAGGAGTCGACAGGTGACAAACCTGTCAAAATATTCTACACGATTTATTAACGTTTATTGTTAATTTTATTAACTGGTGACGAATTTGTTTACATTTATACGTGATATATAATGTTATAATACTAGAACACGTGGTATGGATACAATCACTTTGCAGTATTCTAGTGTTATATCATAAATCAATTGCTAAATGCCTTTCAAAAATAATTAAACGGACGCCATTAACCCAGAAAAGACGAAATGTATAAAATGGGGTTTAATGTCCCAATTTTAATTAAACCGGTCTGGTTTCCCCTTGCCAGTGGTACAGGGATGAGACCTGACAAGGACAGTTGTCTAGTCGTTCGGATGGGACGAAAAAACGAGGTCTCGTGCACGTAATAGATCCCTTGGCAGAACGGGAATTCGATAGAGGAGTAGAACCGCTGTAAGGCCAAAATTCCCCTTATAACACACTGTATGGCGTATGCACGTCTTCATTAGCTCACTCAGAGCAGAACAGTAGGACGTTAAACCCTATTTCATTTTGAATTAAAACAACATCATGTATTATGTATTAGACGTTAAATTTGTAATAAACAAAATGAACCGACTGATGGGCTATTAGTAGGACCGTTACATGTAGAGAATCACACTAGTCAACTAATCTATTATTGTTCTATTCTATTGTGATTTTCTTGTAGTCATTGCTACTTTTTTTTTTCTTGGTTTTTCTTTTCTTTTTTTTCCTTTGTTCTATTGTGAGTTTTGGTATTTGTTTTTGCATTGTCGCGGAAGTGTTCTATTGCCCCCAGGGCTGTATAATGGGTTTTATGTGCATGCAATGGGGTCCCCCGACACTTCAAATATAGGCCTATATTTAATTGTAAAATGACGCCATAATAACCAGTTTATATTACAAGGGATTGAATGGTGTTGTTTATAACATATTTGATGCTAGGTAATTTCGAGACTAACACATGGCTCAATTTAGTTTAGTAATTCGCTTGCGCATAGGGGTCTTTAGCAGTGGGAGGAAACCGGGGGAAGCGGAGAAAAACCACGAGGTTGGACAGATAACCCTACTCCTTTTCACGTACAACCGGGGAATCGAAACCAAGCCAGTTGACTCAATTCCACTCCCCCCCACACACACACATTTAATAACGATAAACAATACTTATCGCGATACGACGGCTGTTTCCACAGTTTGAATTCCCCGTCCCCAAAATGACGTGTTTTTTATGCTAAAGCAAAGTTGATCTTTATTTCAAGGCAAATACACAGCTTATTATGCGTGTTTCGGTGAAACGGCGAAGACATTAACAGATATAATAAGAAATGTTAATGCAGAATCCATTTTGATGAGATTTCACTGTTATGGTTTATCGATAACACAATAAAACTAAAATTCCTCCAATACGAGAAACCTGGAAGCAATTAACTAACATAACAGGATGTTAACAAGGGCCAGCTATATACCTAGCGTAAATAGGCTGCCTGAAGAGGGTTTCAAATGACATGTTTAAGAAACTGTCATTGTTCATAAATTATCACCTATTATTAAGTCCAGACGTTTAACAAGGTAATAAAATAGATTTACACCATGGGTTAAAATTCTATGAATTTACCGCGTATCACTGAGCAACGTTTCGACTAGGCTTCTCTAGTCATTATTATGCAATGATATGTGAAAATATAACCAGACAATATATACACTTAGTTAATACTGACCATTGAAATAATTTAGATTGGAAGATGCTAATTGTAGGCCGATTGGAGAGACTCTGGGAGTTCCGGAGTCTAAAATAACCGTTTTATATGAATGAGTATTTCGGAGAATAATACCGCTAACCATTTTTAGAAGACTCAACTTGGATCCAATTTACTGTTTACCCCCTTTAGGGTTAGTATTCCCCAAAATACTCATAAAGCGGTCATTTTGGACTCCGGAAATCCCCGAACTTCCCGAATCGGCCCTCAATTAGCATCTTCCAATTTAGATTAAATTATGGATAGCGTGAGAAGGAGCCTGTGAGTATGGTAAGCTCACGGGCCCCTACAGAAGTTGATGTTCTCACCTAGATTGAAGCCCTTCTTAAGTTGTTATATATAATCTTGAAGTTAGGTAGTTTTTCATTAGTTGGTAAAATTGCCACAGAATATATACTGTAGCCAGAATTTCTAGGGTGAAAGTTTGCTACATGTCTCCCAACTATAATCTGCGACCATTAGCATATTGTAAATTAATTCTGATTGCATAAACTCGATTAAAAGCCAGAAACGAAAATTGTAATAATTGTCAAGTAAATGCTTTAGTTATAGGCCCTTACTAACAATTCACTGTTTTACTTATATTTGTCAAGAATAGCGTATTGGTTAAATTTTGATAGGGTTCGTCTATTAATAGCAATTCTCTCCCGCTGATTTCCTATTTTTGTTGATTTTTTTTGGCATAGAATGGAGGAAGAGGGTTTAAATTAACATTTTCTGCCAGGTTTTGGTCAATATTCATGATTTAGCGGGTGAAGGATAGCAGAGTTATCAGGTTGGCTACGGTGATATGTACAGCGAATAGTTACATGTTTTTAGTATGCTACTTCAAGTTTGTATATCTCAAAAATTTGGTGGTCAACCTCATACAAATATTGGTGCGAAGACATGAGCATTTGTTTCTCTGTCTGTTGTGAAAAGGATTCAGCCAAATGAAAACTGAGGGAAAGTTTGAGCCGGGCAAAGAGACCAACATTAACATTGGAGTATGGGAGACATTAATGGTGGTCTGCATCCATTAACGGTACAAGGAGTTACCTCCCTTTATACAGTATTTTATTCAATACACCGAATCGTATTCAACAGGGCAGTTTTCTCTAAACAGTATTCCTAGAATAAGTCTAATAGCTGTAAACCTTTATTTCAGATAAGATTTGAGGTTAAAGTTATAATAAATATTTAAACTTTAACAACGCATCTATAAATATTTTTTAATTTGTCAGTAATGAAAACATTTAAAACACACTAAAATCTGTTCACAAGTAACAACCAATTAAATTGAGAGAGAGATATGGGGTTTAACGTCCACTTGACACAAACTAGGTCATTTTGGGACTAACACATGGTTCAATTTTATTTCAATAATTCGCTTGCGCGTAGGGGTCTTTAGAAGTGGGAGGAAACCAGAGGACCCGGAGACAAGCGACCCTACTCCTTGGCACATACAACTGGGGAATCAAAACCCCGCCAGATGACTCAATGACGGACTGTATGATACAACGCGCTCCTGCTAACCATTCGGCCTCCCAACCCCCACCAATTGAAGTAGCTAAGTCTCTTAACTCAATGTCATCCACAGTCTTCGACATTGAAAGCACAAAAGGGACTCAAAAAAAGACTTTGGCAGAGGATTATCCAAGAATTTACTTAGGGGCTTCGATATGTATAGTAAACAGACGAGAGCGAGTAGCGACAAATACTAGCTGTAAAATTGATTCTCCCACAATCAAGTCAAATAACAAACACAGCTGCTTAAAACAAGACTTTTATGGCTTTGGGGGAGTTTTCTTGAGAGATTAGAATGTTTCGCAAGAGATTTAAATCACAGGTAGAGTTTGTAGGTGAGAAGGTATGTTTATAGATAAAATAGAAGTGTATTCAAGTAATAATCTTTTCGAGGCATTTAGTAACTGGATAGAGCAATACACAAAAACACATACTTATGGAATAAACAGCTACTTATTTTTTGGGGCGACGTTTCGAAGAGTATTCTCTCAAGTTATCAAGCTAATACAATAATAAAAAAAATTATTCAAGTGATCACACAGCTTTATTCCTGTATTTTACATCTATTTACATGTTTAATTCATAGAATAAAATCTATCTATCTATTAATATTATAAACTAATTTCATTATATCAACAAGATATATTTTATATGAATGGAATCCAAGAGAATATAGTATCAAATCTTCTATTTAAAGGATATTCATATTACAGTGATAAAAGGGTACGTTTTAAAATAACTGGCATTTCAAAGTAGATCCAAGGGTACGTTTCAAAATAACTGGTGTTCCAAGTAGATCCAAGGGTATGTTTCAAAATAACTGGTGTTTCAAGTAGACCCAAGGATACATTTCAAAATAACTGACATTTCAAGTAGATCTAGGGGTACGTTTCAAAATAACCGGCATACTCGTGATATATATAATGTCAGGTATTTTGATGAGAGAAAACATAAAATAAATATATTACAAAGTTTGCTGACATGGAGTAAATATGAATATACAGACAGGAATAGAATATAGAATATATAGTAATAGCACCTCCTCTCAAAGCTCTGATCTATAACATAAATATCAATCATAGAAAACATTATCCATGGATGCCATTTTGAGCAATATGAATACTTTCAGTTAAACGTTCATTATGTAAGAGCTAACTCTACCTATTGCAGGACTTCCTCTGGCATCAAATGTTATATAAATTATTAATTAGACATTTATTCACATGATAGGCTGATTGGATGACCGATTAAATGGATTAGAACACTCGTCCCAAGTCAAAATGGATAATCGAGACGTTGCTTATTATCACAGCCCAATTTTGTCAAAACTTCAACCATTAATAACTTCGCTATGAATAAAGTAATTTTCAATTATCCATTTTTAAACTAAGATTTTTATCTAAATCTTACACAATGCAATGCAACTTTAATTACAAAATTATTTGTATTTTAAATTTGATTCCATAGATTTAACAAGAAACAAAAGATAGAGTAAATAAATCAGGATAAATCCTTGTTGATTAACAATCTCTCCGTAGGTTTTATATATAAATACTGAAATTGTGGAAACATTGTTTAACCTTTTAGACGTCCAATATAATATTAATATTTAAACCTTCGGGAGGTGGGGCATCTAATCCAACAGCCAAACAAAATAATAACAGCCATATTCAGTTTGTTGCTCTCTAGTTTAAAAACTAGATAAGGCAAATGGATACGGCTGGTCTTAATTCAAATGGTTTGATTTTGGATACGGCTGGTCTTAATTCAAAAGGTTTGATTTTGTGAATACTGCTGGTTTTAACTTAAATCAATTTTAACTCTTTTTGAATTTTTCAGTAGTCTGATTCCTCAAAATTGTTTATTAAAATTTGCTTAGATTGTTGACAGGATTATGAGGTAGAATTCCATTGTAAAGATTAAATGATTATTTTCTTGTTGTTAAAATTCTACAGGAATTTGGGACATGATGAAAGGGAATGTAAATAAAAAAAACAAAATAATTTTAACTTATAAAATATTCAACTACAGAAATAATGATTATCAACATCACGAATATATAAACATCTTAATCACTACATAATTAATTTATTCACTTTAAACATCTCGTCAACACAAAAATAACTATAATTTGTATTACTAAAATTATATACCTAATGGTTGGAATTTACCAGGGCAGTGGTATGTAATGGTCTTTTCGACTGACAACAGAATTTGTAACAGATAAATTTCTAGATGTGGGTCCTGGGGCGTAATTCATGAAAACTTAATTTAAAATATTTTTAATGATGCAGCCTCTGTATTTGTTGAAGATTAAAATAATAGAATAAATTTAAGCTATTGGCCAATGGAAGAGCTGAATTGCTAAAATATTTTAGTTTAAGTTTTCATGAATAAGGCCCTCGTGTCCTTACGAAGCAGTCCTTTATTTAAATAGAACAACAATGTACTATTATACATGTGACAAGAAACAATTCTCTCGTAAGGTAAGTGAAAGTAATTAAATGTTTAATGGGGTCTATCAAAATGTCTGTAATCTAAGGAATCAAGATACATTTATTGACACTGAACTAACATATGATACAATTTTATTTCAATAATTCGGGGGAAACTAGAGGACCTGGAGAAAACAGGCAGCGCTAGTCATTGTCACATACAAGTTTGGGCTAGAAATATACCACATGCCGTCCAACCTACCTGCCAGAAGAATCACCACTTTATATAAATACAAGAATATAGTCATCTTCTGGACATATGAACACAGCAAATTAAAACTAGACTGATGACACTGATCATTAAAACATATTCATAATAATTTATTAATTAACATTTTTTCTTGTGTTACCTTTATATATATAACGTAAAAAACAACTGAAACAAACCAATTCCTTCCATTTATGAGGTTTGACGTGCAGGTGAATTTCCGAAAAAAATTCTTAAGTTCACCGAACTGTACTGTCGTGTGTTATGGCATCATCTGCAAACAAGGACTTGGATAAGTTGGCACAGAAAAGTAGGACGTTAAACCCCATTTCATTTCTGCAGACAAGGGTTAATGTTGTCACAATTAACCCTTCTCATTAAGGTTAGCCAGGCGACCCTACTCCTTGTCACGTACAACCGGATGATCGAAACCATGCCAGTTGACTCAATGACAGATCTTATGATACAGCGTGCATGTGCTAACCATTCGCCATCCCTTGCCCCCCCAACCAATCAGCATCTATTACAACAAATTAACTGCTGAATGCAAGGTTTCCGTTTACCATGATATTTGGTAGGATTGGACAATAAATCAACATGTGAATTTTATTGACCGATAAAAATACCCCAATAATCCAATATATCGATTAGCCCTAAATTATCGCCATTTCTTCAATAATATTCTCTGAAAGATCCTTGTATTTTATAGAACACAGCATAAGCTGCAATAATGACAATGTATTGTGGGTTTTTAGATCGTTATTGGCAGTAATAGCAATAATTAAAATTTCAAATATCGTCCACTCCAAGTTTTTTAGTATGATAAAAGAAGGGACACAGGTATGAAATGTTATTAGATAAACTGCACAGGTAATGACGTCCGCGGGTGTAATCTCAAGAAACCGATTCATATTACGATTACATTTTAACCCCATAAATGGAAACAAGACTTCAAACTCAATAATAACATAGGGAAATCATCACACAGGATCAAAGTTCATTGTCTATATACAAAACAAAGAGTTATAACAGATAATAATAAACTTATCAACATAAAGCAACAATAAAAAGGTGATTTAATTCTTTATAATATATATCTTAACATATTCTAACAATAATTCAATCATTTGGTGTTAAATTTCCTGATTTAGTTATTTTTGGAACAACAGATGATATATATCGGCAGACGATTGCCATTCAAGAGACGACCACCATTGCATTATTTCTATTAGGTCTCGTAGAGCATTTATTGTTGTTTTTGTTTCATTTTGTGTGAAGCTTGTATCATTACAGACCCGGGACTTTATGGTTAGATCTATTTTATAAGGCCAACTTCACGTTTGGTCAAAGCGCTTATCCCAACCCTAACCCTAAATCTAGCCCTAACGCTTATCCTAACCTACAATCTCGCCAACAATCACATGCCCTAACCTTATTTACATCTCAGCAACCTTGACGAAATCTTGAGTTGACCTTATGAAATAGATCTAGCTAGGACTGTACAGCTCAGTGGACGTTTACAGCGGACCCACGGATCCACCCACTTGATTTGATATTTGTTGTTTCCTGCTTACAACGTCTGTGTAGCTGTTTTTAATTAATGCTGTTATTTCTACATTTTAGGGAAATCACATGAAATAAATTGTCTTCAGTGATGTTTTTATGAGGCTTTTCTCCAACTAACAATGGATTTATTTTTTTCATGATAAATGAGTTTTCAAAATTTATCTTTTTCGCTCCAAACCCTAAATATATATGAGGTGTGCTGAGCTGCCAATTAGGGGACACATTTTAAATTTCATTCCTAAAATTCTTCAACTTATTTTATAGCTCAATTAAATTGTTCCTCACTCCTAAAAATTTCATTCCTAAAATTAAATTATCAAATGTACAAATATACAATTATTGCTCTTCTCCTTCCTTTGCCCGAATCATTCGACGAGGACCTCTATTTGCTGGACCTTTTGGTTTGGCAAACGCTTGTCGTACTGCATTTTTCGTAGGATGAACTTCTTCATAAATGAATTTTTCTGTTAATTCTTTAGCATCATCAGATTCAATCTGAAACAACAAATTAGAAAGGATAACTTCAGATGTTTGGCCCTATTAAATTTAAACATGTGCTTGACTTTTGTTCAAGTAACCATTGCTTAGCTCATTCCATATATCTTTCCATTATCACTCTGACTAAGTGAGTAAGACATTGGCTCGCTAGCTTGGAGATCGTGGGTTCACTCCCTGCATTGGCTGAGAAAGTTCGTCGGAATTATCCGACTTGGTTTCCCCTTGTCAGTGGTGCAGGATGGAGGGCCTGACAGGGACAGCTGTCTAGTCGTTTGGATGGGATTAAAAAACCAATGTCCCATGCACATACTGGCGTGCATGTAAAAGATCCCTTGGCAGTTGGAATTCGATATAAGAGTCTATGCAAAATTTCCTTCATAGCACACTGTATGGTATATGCCCGTCTTCATTAGCTCAGTCGGAGCAGAACAGTAGGACGTTAAACCCCATTTCATTTCATTTCCATTACGACTTGGAAATCAAACGAACAGTAAGTGCAGTGCAGGGTTTAACGTCCTACTTTCCTGCATCAACCAAGATGACGAAGACGGGCAACACCATGCAGTGTGCAATTAGGGAAACTTTGCCCTTACTGTGACGCTACGTTACTCAGATTCCAATTTCAAACTGTTAGTGGATATTTACTGGCTGCCAATGGAAAACATTTTCCCAGTACAGTGACGCCACGGCCTACACTTATAACAAATTTCAACTGTCATGTTTACACAAGATCTTGCTTTTTTGTCCCATCCGAACAACTAGACAGCTGTGCTTGTCAGGCCCTCTGTCCTGCACCACTCACAAGGCTGGGACCTAAACTAAACCATTCACCCCACACCCCCTCCGTAATTAAAATTGAAACATGACTTACCTTTTTAACTAAATCTATTCCTATAACTGTCTGTATATAATCCACTACAGGTGATTTACAACTTGAATATAACATACGCTCTTTTATAGAACATTTATATCCAGGCATAGAATATATAAATACTGTAAATATACAAAATATATACTATAAATACACACAAAATTATATACTGTAAATATACAGTAAATATACTGTAAATACACAAAATATACACACAATATACTGTAAATACACAAAATATACTGTAAATACAAAAAATAAGTACACAAAATATACTGTAAATACAAAAAATAAGTACACAAAATATACTGTAAATACACAAAATATATGCAAATACTGAAAATACAAAAATATAACAATATTATAATAGTCCTTCCCAGCATAGAAAATATAAATACTTGGAATATATCTATATTATTATCATTATTATAATAGTATATCCCAGAATAGAATATATAAATATTGTAAATACACAAAATATACAAATACAAAAAATAAATGTCAACTCTAGTGTAAATAATTCACGTACCTGTGGTTTCCATGTAATCACCTTCATGCGTATGTTTAAATGTGAATAAATGATATCGGGGATGATCATCAGGAACTTTGGACGGCAAATTACCAATTTTTACATCGCCAGATTCTTCAAGATTTATAATTTCTTTTGTAATATCCAAACTCTAGAAAGATAAAAACAATCTGGGTATTACAATATTTAATAAATCATATTTCTATATTCCACTTTTGATACATATTAGATTCTTGTTCAAAACTACACTAGAGGTACTCTGACTGAATGGACACCTAGTGAACAGTGAACAACATAGGTTTTCTGGCAACAAAACATACACCCACAGCAGCTAAGTTGTCTGGGCCGTCCATAAAGGTTGCAAAACCGTGAATCTTTATCTATATATAATATCACTGAAGTGTTGATAAGATGTTGTAAATGTTGACTTACTAATTGAACATAATTAATATCACCATTTTTAAGTTCTTCTAGTTTTTCTACTGCTACTTTAGTTAAAGGGAAGGCAACACCTTGCATAGTTTGATGTTTTGTATCAATATTAACTACAGCATTCACCTGTAAGAATAAAAATACAAATATTTATGTTTCTGGACAAATTTTATTGTGGTGGAGTAACCAGGATATTATTACTTGGTTCTAGAACCATAACAGGTCTTGGGTTAACTACAGGTGTTGACCAATCTTCCTTGGGATTTTTCGGAGTGGTATCCCCTTGTCGGTCGTCGTTTAATGGAGGATCTGGCAAGGAACAATATAGACATCGACATGCACATAAAAGAACCCTTAAAAGTTGTAGAAGTGGGACATAGTGCCGCTGTTCGGGCAAAGAAAGCCTGTCTTCATTAACCAAGTAGGTGCATTCAGGCATTAAACAAAATACTTTTTTACATGATAAAGATTTTAAATATTTAACTCTTTTAAATGACAATTTTTCACATCATAAAGATTTTAAATATTCAACTCTTTTTACATCATAAAGATTTTAAATATTTAACTCTTTTTACATCATAAAGATTTTAAATATTCAACTCTTTTTACATCATAAAGATTTGAAATATTCAACTCTTTTTACATCATCAAGATTCTAAATATTTAACTTTTTTAAATTACAAAGATTTTTTAAAAGTTGTATCAGAAAGAGTTTAATTGTACCTCATTGTCTTTAATAGCTTTGAGTTCTTCTTCAGCAAATGTTAAAGGTGCTGGAGCATCTAAAGATTTCTTATGTTTCTGATAACCCTTTAAATTAACATCTTCCTAAAATAAATATATTATAATTATGGTTTTAAAATAACATCTTTCTAAAATAAATATATTATAATCATGGTTTTAAATTAACATCTTTCTAAAATAAATATATTATAATCATGGTTTTAATTGGCTTTTCCTAAAATGAATATATTATAATCATGTTTCTGATAGCCTCTTAAATTAACATGTTTCTAAAATGTTATAATCATATGTTTTAATAGCCTCTTAAATGAACATTTCATGATTATTGACCATATTTCCTTTTAATCACAATACAATAAAAGACCAAGTTGAAAATAACCTTTACAGATAATAACTTACAATTGTGGTACCAAACACATCATGTTTCAAATCACCTTGACCAAATTCCTTTCTTAATGTGGCCCTTGTTGCAGCGTATAACATCTTCTGTCGTACCTACAAAACAAAATACGATTAGATCACAGATTCTACTTTGTAATAAATAATTAATTTTTCAGGTGGAGGTTGTCTTCTTCACCACAATAGAATATGGAAGAGCTTTTAAATAGTGTTCAATTTGAATTTGATGTAAGGGATTAGCCAATGAAATGATCTGTTTAGTTCAGATGTACCAGGTGTTAAAGCGTTAAGTTTTCGAGAAAATAAAATGAATAAACTTACAGGTGAGAAATCTGGTGACCAGGATATTACGATCCATAAATAACCTGTTGTATTCTTCTCATCTAATCTATATAATATATAACATGGCTGCTTCTCTTCTAACAATGGTAAAACTAACTCATCATATTGTACAACATCGTTAAGGTCAAATTAAACAATTATAAACAACCCTGTTGTTTCTAGCAAACTTCGTTACATTTTGGTCGTGAACGATTGTTTCCAGTCAGCAACAAACTTTCAAATACCAAAGAGAACAAGTTTAACTATGTCTCGTAGAACAACCACAGAGTTTCCAGTGGTGAGAGGGAGAAATGGGGTTTAACATCCACTCGACACTAACTAGGTTTTTTCAGGACTAACCTATGACTCAATTTAATTTCAATAATCCACTTGAGGAATGGGAGGAAAATTGAGGATCCGGTGAAAACCCACGAGGTTAGAGAGGCAGGCCTACTCCTTGTCATGTACACACAGGGTATCAAAACCACACCACTTGACCCAATGACAGACCTTATGATCTAAAGCCAGCCAACCTGCCTTCCTCAAGAAGAGAAGAAGTTCGACCATGTCAAGAACAAGTCTGTAGCTTCCAGCGACTGTTTCTGGTCACAAACGAATTGTCCACAAGTAAAGAAGAGAATGCGACTGGGGTAAAAATATCTTTATGGTACTGGGCAGTGTTATTGACACTCAGAGTTAAAATATCTTTATGTTACTAGGTAGCGTTATTGACACTTAAGAGTTAAAATATCTTTAGGGTATTAGACAGTGTTATTGACACTAAAAGTTAAAATATCTTTATGGTACTGGGCAGTGTTATTGACATCTAGTAACAGACAATTTGAACCTGGTGCTGGACATTTAAAATATCACTGATAAAAGACAAATATATATCAGACAAGTTGACGAGCATTAGAGACTTTGTGCTCGACAATATGGCCGAGAGCCACGCAAGAGACAATGATATTTTAAAGGTTTTTTCACTGGGTCTGTTCGAACAGATATCGACACCTCCAGTATCAGCAAAATGGCAGACTATTTGCCGATAATCGGTCACTACTGTTTACACCTTTTCATAAACATTATAAACATTATCAGAAACTTCGGCTGGTATGTTTTCCCGTTGTTTTGGTAAAGGAAGTGGAATTGTGTATTTATATAAAAGGATATCTTCATCCCATGATTTCTTGCCTGGCAAACTTTCACTTAAAACCATCTGTTCTAAAATAAAAATAATTTTACATGGATTAGAAAATAATCTTGTTTTTTTGTAACAAAGTGGACCAAGGAGAAATTGCAGTAGATAATTACAACTTATGAACAAAATTTTTATCATTAAATCATACAGAGAGAGAGAGAGGAATGGGGTTTAACATCCACTCGACATGAACTAGGTCATTTCGTGACTAACATATGGTTAAATTTTATTTCAATAAATCGCTTGCGCGTAGGGATTTTTAGCAGTGGGAGAAAACAGGAGCACCCTGAGAAAACCCACAAGGCTGAACAGGCGACCCTACTCCTTGTCACGTACAAGTGATCATTACTGTAAACTAATGTTTAGTGTGTATAGAAAGTTGTCATTAATTAGCAGGTGTTTAACAAGTTGTAAAACATGTCACTTAGTAAAAGTGTGACTAATTCCAATAACCAATGTGTCAGATATTTTTATTTGTAAAAGTCGTATGTTCATAAGTCAACTTTAACAACCTTACAGTGACAGAACTATACATGGATATCTCTTATCAAATTAATTTGCATTTTTGATAAAAATTGAGAAATAACGGTAAATTTCATCTAGAGACTATTCTACCTCCTTGACAATACTAATTTTACAGTGACAGGGCATTTTTACTCAATCTGATTAAAATACACATCTATATTTCGTTTCATTTTTTTTTATACTTTTGATAGGCTACACTACATAAAGATCTGGAAGGTTTGTCAGGAGTGGTGCGAGTGGCTTTCGACCCTATGACATTGATTTATCAACCAGCGTTGACGTTTCTAGTGGTTTATACACAGTTCCGTGCCTCGCCATCAATATAACAACTCTTCCATATTCTAGTGTAGTAAAGACAAGTAAAACAAAATGTTTTAATCAGACGGATTTTGAATTGGAATTGTGCAAAATACTTTGATGCCTATTACCAGTTGCATTTTACGATAATCGGGGAATAACCCTCAACTTCATCTGAGGGAATATTCTACATCCTTGATAATACTAACCTTTCTCAATAGAAACTTTTAAAACACGGACAGATTCACTTTTAGCCCTAGCAAACTCTGCCAGCAATTCTTCCGAAGCTGAAAAAATAAATTCCGTACTTTCAGTTAATTTTCATAATAACACAACTTTATGGATTTACCACATTTTATTTTATTATATGCAACGTTTCAAAACTCTTACAGGTATCGGGAGCCACAGTGGCTAAGTGGGTAAGACGCTGGCTCACTAGCCTGGAGGTCACGTGTTCGATCCCTGCATTGGCCAAGAAAGTTCATCAGGATTTTCCAGTGTGGTTTCCACTTGTCAGTGGTGCAAGACGGAGGGCTTGACAAGGACAGCTGTCTAGTCGTTTGAATGGGACGAAGAATCAAGGTCCTGTGTACACATTGACGTGCAGTAAAAGATCCCTTGGCAGTTGGAATTCAATATAAGAGTAGGCCATAGTGCCACTGCTCAGGCAAAAATTCCTTCATAGCACACTGTCGGAGCAGAACAGTAGGACATTAAAGTCCATTTTATTTCTTACGAATTATAACAATCAAAACCACTACTTAAGTTAATTTCTTTATTTGTACAATTATGAATTCGGCAAGATTCAGTAATTAACATGTTATTGTTTCTTCAACTCGACTCCAAGCACAAACATCACCTTCATTTTACAAGGAAGTGTTTGTGTATATTTATTTACATAGGATTACAGATACAACTGTTGACTGACATACTGAACCACAAAACACTGACTTATTGTCCCTGCTTATTGATTGTACATTTGTCTGACTGGTGAAGTCAACTGTCAATAAGTGGTTGTTGATGATGATGGAATGTCCATTAGCAGACCGAGCAGCTTTCGCAAAATGTTTTGAATCATACTCACTAAGTTTGACTTATTTCACAAAATTGACAAAATTATCTAGAATAATTCCATAGGGTTTACGTCTCAATCATTTCAGATCAAGAATACTGTACCTGATATTCCAGTTTGGTGAGACATTGTTGACTTTTACAGGTAAAAGTTGACTCAGAAGAGGAAGTTGTCGGAAGTTCGGAAAGAGTACACTCCCTCCTGTCACGTGATTAAAAATCCATTTTACGTTGTTTCAACACTACCCATTGGTGAATGATACTAATCTACACCAATCAATTTATCGTTCACATAATTCTTAGGCTATCGAGGCAAAATGGCTGACAACGTGGATTTTGCGAACTTATCTTTCGAAGATAATTATTTAATTAGACCTAGCGTCTAGTACAGCTTTCAAAGAGATCCCAGGGCGTTTCAGTTCATTTGCTGCAATGGAGACTCCAAGTGTTGCACATAAAATTAATTCTCAGAAAAGAACAAACGACGTTTTGCTGTCTGAAAATGTAGATTTCGCTGGTTTGCTTTTGTCGGATCCAGTTCAGAAAGGCTTGATATCAGCCGGTTTTGAAAGACCGTCACCCATTCAGTTAAAAGCCATACCTCTTGGTCGTTGCGGATTAGGTAGGGCTAATTTTATTTGTTAAGGCCAGTTCAGTTTTTGTCAAGGTCACTGAGATGTAAATGAGGTTAGAGGGCACATGATTGTTGGCGAGATTGTAGCCTAGCTAGGTTAGCGTAAAGCCGTAAGCATTGGGGCAAGGTCCAGGGTTAGGATTAGTGCTAGCCCAGTTTACATGTCGCAGCCTATGATGAAAAATTGAGTTGGCCTTATCATTTAGCGGTAAACGCTTACGTAGTCAATATTATACTAACAACAATATACGACCCATTTGATTTGTTTGAAAAAAAAAAGAGGCCTACAATTTCAAGGATCCATCAAGATTCTCCTGCTATTAGTAGTAGTTTTAGATTGCCAAATATTTGGTGATGGTGAATCTTCAATGTTTAGGTCAGCAACCAGCCTAGTGAAAGATTTTATTGCCTGACTGACAACCGGAAGCCATCACTATTCTTGTTGGTCACAATCAACTATTTCAATATGGCCTGACCAATGGCCTATCCCATTCCAAAATTTGTTTCATAACAAAATTTTGTTAGCACATCCCTTACACACAAATTAAAGAGGAACTGCCTTTTTATGATGGAAATGAATGATACAATATAAGATACAAGTTTTTTTTGTTCAAAATGGCAGTAGAATAATTAAAAAAAATAAAGTTCCCCAGGATCTTTCAGCCTGATTTTCCCTGTTCAGTGGTGTAGGATAGAAGAGCTTGGCAAGGAAAAGCATCTAGTTATTCAGATGGGATTTAAAATTCAAATCCATGTACTCGCTGGCGTGCATATAAACGAAATCGTGCCAATTGTTGTCCAGACAAAATTCCACTCATGGCATACTGCATGGTGTATGCCTGCCTTCATTAGTCCAGAAGTGGGTTGGATGGCCGAATGGTTAGCATGAGCGTGCTGTATCATAAGGTCTGTCATTGAGTCAACTGGTGTGGTTTCGATTCCCTGGTTGTAGGTGACAAAGAGTAGGGTCATCTGTCCAACCTTGTGGGTTTTCTCTGAGTCCTCCTGTTTCCTCCCACTGCTAAAAAAAAAACCCTACGCGCAAGTGAATAATTGAACTGTGTGTTAGTCTCGAAATGACCTAGTTTGTGTCGAGTGGAGGTTAAATCTCTCTCTCTCTCTCTCTCTCTATTCATATATAAATAAAGTTAACAGACCCCCACATATTAATAAGAATATTTTTCTTTCAGATTTAATAGTGCAAGCTAAATCTGGTACTGGAAAAACATGTGTGTTTTCTGTAGTTGCTTTAGAAAGCTTACAACTGAAAAGTTCAGCTCTGCAGGTTTGATTTTTTTCCCTTATTTTGACAGATCAGACATAAAATTCACTAAAGTAAAATTAAAACTCTACTTTGTGGTATGAGTGTTAAAGTTGCCACATTAACTTTTTAAAATAAATTAGTTAATTTCTCTGAAGGTGAAATAAGCGATTATAGGATTCATATTCAAACTACAATTTGAAGCTATAAAAGGAAAAGTTCGATCCCTGCTTTGGCCGAGAAAGTTCATCCAGATTTTTCGGCGTGGTTCTCCCTTGTCAATGATGCAGGACGGAGGGCCTGACAAGGACAGCTGTCTAGTCGTTCAGATGGGACGGAAAACCAAGGTCCCGTGTACACATTGGTGTGCACGAAAAAGATCCCTTGACAGTTGGAATTCGATATAAGAGTAGGCCGCTGTCCAGGCAAAATTTCCCTCATAGCACACTATATTGGGTATGCCCGTCTTCATTAGCCCAGTTCGGAGCAAAACAGTAGGATGTTAAACCCCATTTCATTTCATTTCTATAAAAGGAAAGTCAGTTCAAAAATGGTTCAATTCAGTTTAGTATTTATAAAGATATGATGAATTGAAAATTCCTCAAAATTTGTGGCATCAACTGTATAGATGATATAAACAGCATATAGTCAACACCTAGGATTGTTTCTGAAATCCTTTAATGGGTTCGGAGATTATCTACTGTTAATGATTGTTACTGAAATCCTTTGATGGGTTCGGAGATTATCTACTGTTAATGTTTTGATTTTGTTTTCATAGTTAATGTTAAATAATCATTTAGAACATTTTGATTTGAATTAGATCGTTATAAATTTTATATTGTTAAAAAAACCCAAATATATATAGGGTGTTCAAAATATTAACCCAAAATCAAAAATGATTTCAACTTGAATGATTAAAAATCTAATGATACATTAGGCCTCACCAATTTGAATTTCTGTTTTTTCGAGAACACCTGTTAAATTCTGCCTCCAATTTCTGCAGGAAACAAACCTACTAAGTGCCCTATTTGGGGGTTCGATGGCCGAATGGGTAGCATGGCGCGTTGTATCATAAGGTCTTGTCATTGAATCAACTGGTGTGGTTCAACTCCCTTATTGTACAAAGGAGTAGGATTGCCCGTCCAACCTCGTGGATTTTCTCTGGGTCCTCCGGTTTCTTCCTACTGCTAAAGACCCCTACGCACAAGCGAATTGTTGAAATAAAATTTAACCATATGTTAGTCCCAAAATGACCCAATTTGTGTCGAGTGGACATTAAGTCTCATTTCTTTCTCTCTCCTTATAGGTATTAGTTTTAGCACCAACTAGAGAAATAGCTGTTCAGATACAGGATGTTATAAAGAATATTGGAGTTTATTTACCACGACTTGCTTGTCATACATTTATAGGTGGACTTCCCGTAAAAGATGATATACAGAAATTAAAAAGATGTCATATAGCTATTGGATCACCAGGTATAATACTTGAGTTTTTAAGTCAAGGTTTAGCTGGGGGTTGGGGTGGTGGCCAAATGGTTTTACATGTGTGCATTAGATCATAAGGTCCGTCATTGAGTCAAGTGGCGTGGTTTTGATTCCCAGCTTGTATGTGACAAAAAGTAGGGTCACCTGTCCAACCTCGTGGGTTTCCTCCGGGTTCTCCAACATGCAAACCTGTCCAACATGCAAACAAATTATTGAAATAAGATTGAACCATACGTTAGTCCCGAAATAACCTAGTTTGCCATTCAGTAAATTATCGATATATTTTGCTTACCTCAGATTATCAAAATATTTTTAATCAAGTTTCCTTTTAAAATTATATTTAAAACAATACGGCTAACAATCACTAGAAACTTTAATATTGTGACATTACTACAAATATTTTCTTGCCATAAATAAGCACAAGGTAAACGCTAATACGATTAAAAAAACTAGGAGTGAACATTTAACTGTTGACAGAACTGCTATGATTGGTCTGGATAGTATTATATTCAGTTTGTGCATGCCTTGTGTTTACTCGATCGGTGCCTTTAGAGAGAATACAAGTTATATAAGTGTAAATTAGAAATGTTTTTTAAGTTTATATTTGATGTTTATAGGCCGTGTAAATCAGTTAATAGAAAGTGGTTTAATGTCAACAGATAGTATAAGTTTATAATTGATGTTTATAGGACGTGTGAAACAGTTAATAGAAAGTGGTTTAATGTCAACAGATAGTATCAGATTGTTGGTACTGGATGAAGCTGATAAATTATTAGAAGAAAGTTTTCAAGATCAGATAAAGTAAGTCTTCACCTGAAACAGGCTAACTTAAAAAATATTACATAATATTTTATTGAACGATTAGTATTCAAAGTCCAGTATAAAAAAATATGTTAAGTACTGAATCAATCTGATTATAATACAGATCTGTATTTTGCTTCGTTTTTTTATACTTTCGATAGCCTACACTACATGAAGATCTGACCGGTTGTAGCGATAGGTCGCATCAGAGGTCATACGATCATTGATGTTACTAGTGGATTACCCACAGTTCCGTGAAAAACACGCCTAAAGCTGGCCATAACAGACACCATTCAGAACACGTCAATGATAACAACTCTTCCAGATCCTAGTGTAGTAAAGACAAGTAAAATGAAACTTTGAACTATAAAAAACGAAACGAAATAGTATCTATGTTTTTATCAGATTGAGTACTGAATCTCACATATATTAACTCTATTTCTTTCCTGTTATTCAGCAAGGGCTGTTAATATATGCACTTCAGATCATAAGGTCCGTCATTGAGTCAAGTGGCGGGGTTTAGATTCCATGCTTGTATGTGACAAGGAGTAGGATTGCATGTCCAACCATCATGGGTTTTCTCTGATTTCCTCCCACTGTTAATTGTAATGACATAGTTTGTGTCGAGTGGACGTTGAATATGTTTAAGTATTAGGAGGAAAGGAATGGTATTTAACGTAAGATAGTTATTTTGATACTGACATATATAATTTTTCTGTGGCAAGTTATTGATTTTGAATTTTCTGCCACATGATTATATGTAAATACTGATATTCAACAATTAGGAAGAAAGATGCAGATGAAATGGGGTTTAACACCCTACTTTTCTGCACTGACTTTGTTAATGAAGACAGGCATACACAATGCTGTGTGCTGTTAGGGTAATTTTGCCAAGATAGCAGCATCACGACCTAATTGTATTTAGAATTCCTACTGTCAAGGGTTCTCATACATCCATGCCAATTTGTACAAAGGACCCCATTTTTTTTGTCCAATCCGAGTGACTAGTCACTGCCCTTGTCAGATATTCCGTCCTGCAGCACTTACAAAGAGAATCACACCGAAAAAACTTTCTCAGACCGACAAAGGGATCAAACCCTAGACCTCCTGCTTAGCGACCCAGCATCTTACTCACAGAGCCTGGGGGGGGTGGATGGCCGAATGGTTAGCGTGCGCGCTGTATCATAAAGTCTGTCATTGAGTCGACTGGCGTGGTTTCGAATCCCCGGTTGTACGTGACAAGGAGTAGGGTCGCCTGTCCAACCTCGTGGGTTTTCTCCGGGCCCTCCGGTTTCCTCCCACTGCTAAAGACCCCTATGCGCAAGTGAATTATTGAAATAAAATTAAACCATATGTTAGTCCCGAAATGACCTAGTTTGTGTCGAGTGGACGTTAAACCACATTTCTCTCTCTCTCTACTCATAGAGCCACTGCGGCTCCCGTGGAAAGGAATTGAAGTTTAATGTAAAATAGTTCAGTTTTTTTAGACTGACATATATAATTAAATGTTTTTCTGTGGTCACTTGTCAGCCCTACGAACGCTGTCCCTGACAGATGGGAAAATGGCTTCAAGTGCAACAATTCAGATAATTTGATCCTACATTGTGTCGTATTAAAAGACAAAGTTATTTGATCATAATTATTGTAAACAAAGACATACGTTGTACAGTTTTCATTTATTTTAACTTTGTTTTCCAGTTGGATTTATTCAACTTTACCAGAGAATAAACAGATTCTTGCGTTATCTGCAACCTACCCAGAATACCTTGCTAATCATTTAACAGCCTATATGAGGAATCCAACTTTTATACGTCTTAATATTTCTGATCCAGCTCTATTGGGTAGGTATATAATATTTCTGTTCCCGCCCAATTGGGTAGGTATATACATGTATATTAGGTCATACAATATTTTGGTTTGGTTCTCAGACAAGCTTTACCAAAAATCTGAAGTTTAATGGTGGGGGGGGGGTAATTTTTGTATAGTTGACTAAATGACACCTTATATGCACCACATTTCAAGGTACTACATATATCTCATCATATAGAGGAGAGTTGGATGGCCGAATGGTTAGCACGCGCGCGCTGTATCATATAGTCTGTCATTGAGTCGACTGGCATGGTTTAGATTTCCTGGTTGTACGTGAAAAGGAGTAGGGTCGTCTGTCCAACCTCGTGGGTTTTCTACGGGTTCTCCGGTTTCCTCCCACTGCTAACGACTGCTACGCACAAGCGAATTATTGAAACTAAATTGAACCATATGTTAGTCCTGAAATGACCTAATTTGTGTCGAGTGGACGTTAAACCCCATTTCTCTCTCATCATATAGGAATATATGATCCAATATACATTATCCAATTGTTACATCTTTGGTTTTATTTTAGCAGATACAGTTATTGTTTTGTTATAATTATTATTCAGGTATTAAACAGTATTATACGCAAGTACCCCATCATCCATTACCAAATAAAGACCTAGAAACAAAGACTAAAGCTGTTGTAGAAATATTGTCCAGTATTACATTTAAACAATGTTTGATCTTTTCAAACTATCAAACCAGGTAATATAATCTCCATGACATCATCTTTGAGTGGCATGGAGGGTCTGACAAGGACAGTTGTCTAGTCATTCGAATGGGACGAAAAACCAAAACCGAGGTCTTGTATATACATTTGCATGCACGTATAAGATCCCTTGGCAGTTGGAATTCGATATAAAAGTAGGCCATAGTGCCACTGTCCGGGCCAAATTTCCCTCATAGCACACTGTATGGCATATACCTGTCTACATTAGCCCAGTTCGGAGCAGAACAGTAGGACCTCATTTCATTTCATTTCATATTGAGATTTATTTTGGTTGAGTTACTTTAAATCAGATTTTATGTATGGCCTGCTGTATAAGATAAATCTCTGCTAAAGTTAAAGTTTCTAGATTTGTGTTTATTGCTTTGTGTTTTCAGAGCCCAGAATTTATGCAGTGAATTACAAGCTCAGGGATGGCCAACAACTTGTATAGCTGGTAGTTTAGATCAGAAAGAAAGATTGGAGGCCATGAATCAACTTAAAACATACCAGTGTCGAGTTTTAATATCAACTGATTTGGTAAGAACATCATCATCTCCTATTGGCACCATTTAGCATCTATTTAGCCTATATGGATGAAACGTCCATTCATCAGCATTTATTTTAAATGTTCCATTACTCATTAGCCCTATCGTAGCAGAACATAACGACTATAAACCCCATTACATGACCATTACTCATTACATGTCCAATGTCCATTACTCGTTACATTTCCAATGTTCATTGCATTTCCAATGTCCATTACTTGTCCAATGTCCATTACCAATTACATGCCCAATGCCCATTATTCATTACATTATTCACTACATTTCCATTACTTCAAGTGTATTACTTTTACCATAGTCCTGTCCGTCTTACTGAATAATAATTATTATTCCGGACATATATACCATTCCTGTGGACTACGTAGCATTGACATTTGAATTCAGTTGATTTACAAAATGTAAATTAGGAGGTTTTCGAGATTTACTGATTATAAAAGCAACACACAAAATAGTAGTAAACATTTAACAAATCTTTGAGGTCTTTGAGCGTCATTTGAGGAACATCTACCCGTAAAACCTTGACAACTAAAATATTGTGAAAGCTGGGTCTCTAAAAAGAATATATATCAGTCAAAGTGTTGTTGTTTATATTGTAGACATCTTGTGGTATCAATGCTGATAACATAGATTGTTTTTATTGTAGACATCTTGTGGTATTGATGCCGATAACGTAGATTGTTTTTATTGTAGACATCTTGTGGTATCAATGCTGATAACATAGATTGTTTATATTGTAGACATCTCATGGTATTGATACTGATAACTTAGATTGTTTATATTGTAGACATCTCGTGGTATTGATGCCGATAACGTAGATTGTTGTTTATATTGTAGACATCTCGTGGTATTGATGCTGATAAAGTAGATTTGGTGATTAATCTTGATGTACCGTATGATCATGAAACCTATTTACATCGTATTGGTAGAGCTGGACGATTTGGTGAGTTATTAGTTGTTACAGATTAGTTTATATATAATTATTTACATTACGACTTTACAATCATTTTTATATAAATCCAATGACAATTTGCCTTTTATCCCAAGTTGCCATATACCCCCAGTTGCCATATACCCCCAGTTGCCCAGTGTCCTTGAGCGTAATATTCCCATTGGTCTCATATCCCTAGTTGCCTTGTATCCCAAAACTTAATACCCCAATTTGTACCCCCAGATACCTTGTATCTCCAGTTAGAATCTTGTATCTCCAAATGCTTTGTATCCTCAAGTGTCTTGTATCCCCAAGCTTAATATTTCCAGTTGTCTTGTACCCCTGGTTCCCTGAACCTAATATTCCAGTTGATCTGTATCCCTATTTTTACGTAACCCCTGCTGCCTCCGATCCCATGCAGGTTATTTTGTTACTATTTTTATAAAATCAGTGAGGAGATGAAGAGAAGATATTTTTATTCCAGGATCGTTTGGAGCAGCTATATCAATAGTAAGCAGTGGCAAGGAAGAATCGGAACTTCGTGCTGTAGAGAAAAAATGTAATACAAAAATTTGGCCCATTCCAGGTAAAAGATAGTTCAAATTTTATTGAGTCATAAGTCACATTTGTATTTTAACACGAAGGCTGGTATTATGAAATATTCGTAGGTTGGTGCCGAAAAAAACCCCAAAATTAAACACCCATTTTTATATGCCCACATTTCAGTGTCGTGGGTGTCAATAAACCCTCTTTCATAGCATCTAACATTTTGCAGAGAAGGAGGGGGGGGGGGACAGATACCCGGAAAAAACCCAAGAGGTTTAACAGGCAAGACTGCTGAGGAGATAGAGGGGGGCGGGGAGAGGGAGAGACACCCAGAGAAAACCCATGAGGTTAGACAGATGACCCTACTCGATGACACCTAAAATCATTCAGCCACCAAACCCCTTGCAAGAAAATATTACACCAATGAAATGTAAAGCACAAGGATCGTCATAGTAACCAGTATTATCATGATCATTACCAGAAAACCTTATGAACATGAAACAGACTACATTTTTTTGCAATCTGATTAAAATACAGATCTATATTTAGTTATTTATACTTTCGATGGCCTTCACTACATGAAGATCTGACCAGTTGTAGTGGGAAGTCGTGCCAGGGGTCAGACATTGATTAATCCATCAGCGTTGACGTTTCTAGTGGTTTACCCACAGTTTTGTGCACAGCACGCCAAGAACTCGCCGTAATGGACCGTTTCATTGGCTAACTACTTGCAAGAACTTGCCGTAACGGACCGTTTCATTGGCTAATTCCTTGCATCAAGCACAGTGCCTGTTATATAACAACTCTTCTGAACCTAGTGTAGTAAAGACAAGTAAAATGAAATTTTGAACTATAAAAAACGAAACGAAATAGGATCTGTGTTTTAACCAGATTGATTTTTTAACAGATTTTATTTGAATTTTGTGTGAAGCATTGAGGTCATAAGAGTATGAACCATATTCATTTTTAAATTTGGTGTGAAGCATTCTGTGGATAAACCCTTCTTTTCGAGAGATAAGTTATGTGTTGGAAATGTTTGTGAACACGATAGAGATCAGATTAAAGATCTTTATCAAATTTGATCAACATCTAAGTTTTCCTCTCGGATAAGCGGCTGTCCATGGTTATATTTGTTTCGAGACATAGCTGCTGTGTGGGCATATTTCAACGCTTCATGGGCCTGTCTTATTTTAGAAGTATCGTGTTGACGTTAATGTTCCCTATTCAGATTTTTTTTTTTATTTCAGACCCGCTACCAGTGGATCTGGTGAAGAAAGAAATACCGATAAATATAGATGATATAATTAGCACGGAACAGATTCAAACAATCGGGGCAACGGCAATGAATGGCCGATCATCACACGAGAAAACAGAGATAAAAGACAACACCAATTCAAATTATTCTGGAAAGAAAAATCAACTTTCTTGTGATGATAAAAACACGAATAATTCTTTAATTACACCCAGTGAACCTAGTGCACAAGATGAATTATTCGGTAAAACGGAAAATTTATCTGATAAAGGCATGAAACCGAGTACCCAAAAATTTATTTGTAAAGAAGACAAAACTGAACTTCCAAATTTGTCGCTAAATCTTGAGAGTTTGAAACAAGATTGTTCCACAACTAATTCTCCAGTTGTTGATGTACGTGATATCACTGATAGTGTTGTCAGCTTTCAAAAATCACCCAAGACAAGCACGGTCGTTGTTGATGAATCAGTGAAAACAAATGAGAAACTTTATAGGAATTCTTCCGAAACTAGAGAAAATAGAGATTTGAATAATTCCCATTCCCAACCTTCAAATATAACAGACAGTACGAATAGTATTAATCTTAAAACAAAAGATTCTCGTGAACTAAACAATGTTTCTTACGATCTAAAAACAGGTGCTTTGAAAATTGAAAATCGTGGTTCAGATATAAAGATGAATGGTGCAGTTATTAGTGCTAAAATAAACTCAAAGTATTCTAAGAAAGAGAAAAGTGTTTGTATGAAATCAGAATCTTGTGTTTCGGAAGATATTAAATGTGATCCGAGTGATTTAACGGAGAATTTCGACAATCAATCAAGCGCCTTTAAACAGAGAGACAAATTAAAAGCAAATCTTTTAAAAGTCGTAGAGAAAACAGAAGTAGATTCGAATCATGAAAATCAAACAAATGATAAAGTTGTGTTACAGAAATGTTGCCAAGATGTGGTGAAAGCCGTGCAGAATCTAAATCTTGAAAATACGATGTCTGTTGATTTGAATAATAGTCAAAGTAAATCTAATTCTAACGAGCTGAATGTAGTGGAATCCATTAATCTCGAAGATATGCCAACAAATAATGAAACGTCAAATAATAAAGACAATACAGAAACGAAAGCAGGAAGTGATGTTAAAAATAAAAAGTTGCGTAATGTAAGTAGATATCGCGAGAAACTTAAAAGTTACGATGAGTTTAAAAACGGTGAGACTAAAAGTGATTATAATTATGTTGCTAGGATACATAAAGATATTCAGGACTCAGTTAAAAATATTCCTTCCATTGAAAAAAGCAGATTGGTTAGAATTGATCAAATTTATTCGACTAATCGACAACAAAATATATGCACGGTTCAAACAACTTCACGAGAAACTCAAACGCAAGATTTACGTGTTCCACATGTATCGTCAACGAATAGAACAATGGAAGACAATTCAAAAATGGAGGAAAATATGAGACAATTAAAAGAACTTAAAATTAATAAAACAATTTCACCCGATTTAGTGGAATCTAACTTGAAAGACATTAAAGATCAACTTCGGAATCCATCCGTGCAGGAGTTTCAACCCAAACTTGCCAAAATCTGTGTGTCCAATCAAAATGGCATAGCGTCTTTATCTGATGTTCTTGACAGCTCTACACCATCCAAAACATCGGAAATTATTCTTCAGGAAAGTGATTCAGAAATCGCCGAGTCCAGCAGTTCAACGTCTATTACATCTGATTCAGATTCATCACCCAATTCTGAATCCGAAGATGAAAGATCTCGACGCAAAAAAGATTCTGAATATCTTTTGACCCATAAACAAACATACGGACATCAACAGTGCCATCACGTTACTGAGAATGAAAGAGTTCCTTTCGGTGCAAGAATTGATTACCATCTGCCACATAATAACTTTCATGCAAATAATTGGTTTTATGATCACGGTTATCCCTATCCCTATGACCATGATAGGAATCTGTCTATGTTTACAGAATCCAGTCACCATGTCAATAATCGGAGAAAAGATAAAACCAAAAAATGGAGCGAACCTAGCAATTTTGAAAACGGTAGTCACTGGTGTGAATCTGGAGAAATGATTTTTGAAAGACGCAAGACTGAGCGCAGACAAGCAGCTCTTCATAAAGAGAAAACAAAACCGTCATTTATCAGAAATCTTCAAGAAGATGAAAACCTCTCGAAACAGGCAAGCAGACGTTGTAAAAAGGAGAAAATGGAGCAGCCAGGAAAAACTAAAGATTCCGTGATTGATGGTGCTAATTATAATAAGTATTATTCCGAATCTGAATATTATGATTGTCCATGGTACAGACGTGGAAATCTGTCGTACAGTTCTTATCCTTGCTATCCCATGGATCCATATTATAGAAAACAATCCTACGGTTTTTATCCCAATTATCCCATGAATCCATACTATAGAGAACAGTGCTATAATTATTATCCCAACTATTCTCAACCTAGACCTGAAACTATCGAAGAATCTATGAAAAAGATGCAAGAGATTGCCAAGATTCAAAAAGATTATATCAGACAAATGTTAAGAAAGTAATTAACCTTTTCATATTGTAGCATGTTTTTTTATTTTAAATAGAAACTGTGAGATATGTCAACAATTTAAAAATTAAATAGCATTTGTTACCAGATTATGAACTTATGTCCTTGTTCATTTTATTGACATGAAATGGGGTTTAATGTTCCACTGTTTTGCTCCGACAGGGCTGATGAAGATAGACATGGGGGAATTTTGCTCGGACAGCATCACCATGGCCTACTCTTATATCGAATTCCAACTTCTTTTACTGGCACGGCAATGTGTACACAGGACCTTGATTTTTTGTCCCACCCGAATGACTATACCTTGTCCCGTGCCAGGTCCTCTGTCCTGCACGATTTTATTGAGAGATCAGCCGAGAAGGTTCTTCAGGAATTGATAATCTGGGTTCTGCTTGTCATTGGTACAAAGTGTCTTATTATTTGGTTCCATGCTTGCACATGGCAAGGAGTAGGGTCGTCTGTCAAATCTTGTGGGTTTTCTTTGGGTCCTCTGGTTTGTGCCCACTGCTAAAGACCCCTACGTGCAAGCGAATTATTGAAATAAAATTGAACCATAGCCCCAAAATCATCTGGTTTGTGTTGAGTGGATGTTAAGACCCCAGTCCTCTTAATTTGCTCTTTGCTATTATTTGGATGGTCCTGTGTATACCACTAACAGAACTTTAAGGATCCCTTGACAGTTGGAAGAGTTGTCAGAAATACTGTCACCCTCACAGCACAGTTGGTGCTGAAAGGTAGTGCGTTAAACCTATTTCTTAAGGCCCTAGGCTTCAGTCTGCCTACAGGTATATAACAGTTCTTAAGGCCCTAGGCTTCAGTCTGCCTACAGGTAAATAATAGATCTTTAGGCTTCAGCCTGCCAAGCCTACAGGTAAGTCTGACACAGAGCACCATACTTGATGTTAAAGCTGGTATCTAGATGACAATCATATTCAATCATCATAAATTATACTGTTCCCCAAGTGCAACTCAATCTTGTTCAAGACTGCTCTTATTCTTGTACGATTGACACGAAACTTCTTTGGACAATTGTGCAGCATCAATTGACAGACTTTGATGTTTGATATGACGTCATAATTCCAAGATGGGTACTTGTTTCTTCAGAGAACGCACACAATATAACAACCAGTATAGAATAAGTTTTATTAAAGTTAGCCTCATTTCTGTGTTACATGACATCATTATGCTTTATAGACTGTGAACAGGATTTTAATACACTAATATACCACATATAAACTCACCAATGATAAATCAATCGTCACTAAATATAAGATAAAACAGTTCTAGGGAAACCAATTGAGCTTGAAATCGACAAGACGATCATTGTAGCAGTAGCTTGGATTAAAAATACAGTAATTGTTTTTATAGAACTGTTGTGTTTATTTTAAAGGGGTCTTTTGTAAGATTTACATAAATAGCTGGTCGTTCTTGTTAGTTATTTCAAAAATTCATTCAAATTACTTAATCCTGAGCAAAGTTACAAATGATTGTAGTTTTGACAAGATTGAACTGGTCATTTGAGTCTTAACCTTGCTTCTCCCTGGTTAAATTAAATCATTAAATGGCCGAACCATTCTAACCTACTTTAAATCGGAGCTATCTGATGGCATCGAGAGTTGATTATGGTCTTGGCATGTTAATAAATGTCTAATAAATAGTTTATATAACATTTCAGGCCTAAAGAAAGACCTGCAATAGGCAAACTTAGCTCTTGTATAAAGTATGTTTAATATATTCAATTACTGAATGCCGTGTTGGAGAATCTGATACAGATTAGTATTTATTTAGTCATAGTTTTATAACAAAACTCTCGAAGACAATTCTTATCTTCTTTATATTTGAATAAATTATAGTTATCAATAGAAATACGTAAGACAAAAATATCTACATGTCTTTAATCAGATAGACATGGCATCCTAAATTACATTCAGTTCTCTCAAAATAAAACATCTGGAGGATGTTTAATCCTTTACCAACTACGATGTTGAAACTCATTCAATTCCATTCAGTATTTAATAAGGTAGGATGAATTGAAAGTTTGTCAAAATTAAGCGTTAGACACATTAGCCGTATGTGTGGACGCACAAGGCCGATTCAACAGTTTAAGACACATTAGCAGAATGTGTGGACGTACAAAGCGAATCCTTTGTCCGATTCGCCAGTTGATTGCATCAACTTTCACGTTACATGATTAATCATGGCAGCGACCATGTCTTCAAACAATCACATGACTTCTTGATATCAGTCGTGATTGGGTAATGAATTCTACATTCGGGTGAGTAGGCAAATATAATTTGTTCGAATATATCAAACATGTTTGATTTGGTCAAATCATTCGGCAGATGCAGTAGGATCTATTCAACACAAGCCAGCGCCTCCTATAATTTTTGCTGAACACTTTTTATTCGATTAAATCCAAGCCAGGACAATATCTACCAATGATATTTTGCTTTTGTTTTCCTACTTAAATATTTAATTTGAGGAAATTTTAGTACTCAGTTGTGGGAAATTGAATATTTTTAAAAAAATATACAAATCACACACAGATTCTAAATTCTGGAATTTATAACATAAAAAATTGTTCACTTGACCCTAAATAATTAAAGACTAATTTGGTCTTTCTTGAGTACTGTAAGTGTTCTGTGCAACCAGCCATGGTCTAAGAACTACAATTTACCCTCATTTAATTTCAGAACAATGTCAATATACTTAAAGCAATGAATTTCATGTGATTAAAAATAAAAGAATTTTAAATTACTGAAATAAAAAAACTGTTAGTCAAGTGGTATCAGATGTTCTAGTGGAACTTTGAACTAAAGCGTTCCTAGAACACGGCCTAGTAAGTTTACAGTCGATCTGAAGTTGAATTATATATAAACCGTAACTAACAATAATATCATGTGTTCGAATGGGACTTCGAACTAAAGAGTTAACAGTACGAGTTGAATTATATAAAAACCCTAACAAAGATATCAGGTGTTCGAACTAAAGCGTTCCAAGTAAGTTTACAATTATATATAAACCCTTACTAACAATGATAAATAGACAGAATGACTGATGATATCCTCTATAAATATTTTATATAATTAATGAAAAGAATAGATAGTTGATAGATTGAGCATATAACATACTTCACTTCAAACCAAATATACATAAAACACACGTTTACAAAATAATAATTTATTATATTCTATTTTAAACCCGCTGATCGTCAGATTCTCAATCTGATTAAAATACACATCTATATTTCATTTCGTTTTTTTATACTTTCCATGGCCTACACTACATGAAGATCTGATCGGTTGTAGTGGAAGGTTGCATCAGAGGTCGTACGTATGGCTTTTGACCGTATGACCTCAGACATTGATTAATCAATCAGCATTGGTGTTTCTAGTGGTTTACCCACAATTCCATGCATCCCACGCCAATAAGTCGTCGTAACAGATGGTTTCATTGGCTAATCACTCACGCCATCCAGAACGCGGGTTATATAACAACTCTTCCAGATCCTAGTGTAGTAAAGACAAGTAAAACGAAAGTTTGAACTATAAAACGCGAAACTAAATAAGATCTGTGTTTTAATGAGATTGGGAGATTTTGAATCACATGCAAACTACAATATTGTGAAATATAATCCCACAAATGGTTCAATTCCATTCAGCATCTACAAAGATAGGACGACCTGAAGTTTTGTCACCATTCGTCACACAGTTCAGGCAATATATTGGATAAAGAACAAACCCTACGATTTTTGCAGAAATCTGCCTTGTTTAATCTGATTGAATTCAAACCAAAAGATTATCTGTCTTTAGCCTGTTTTATTAATTAAAGATACATTAGTTAAGAGTTTAACAAGAGTTGACCATTCTTGCTACATGTATAATAATTCCAAATTAGATGATAAAAAAAGAAAATATTGAAAATTTCAGTCCTGTTACTTTGTTCTGAAGTTTAGAAGTTTGGACTAGAAATAGGCATCAACTGTATCCGTACCATCTACGAGAATTACTGATCGTTTGATTAACAGACGATAACTCCACCCACATATTCTGGATTATCAAGTAACATTCTCAATGGCTATGGTAGCCTGCTTGGTAGGCCTTTCAAAACCAGTTTCCGCTGGTGACGTCAGTGACTAACGGTAAAAGTTAGCTTGGTTGGACATTTCTTGATTTAATTTTAAATGGACGACTGTTTAAATCCAAGCTGTATCCAAGCCATCCGTGGGTCTACGGAGTTGATTTTGAGCTTGTCATGTAAATAAAGATCTAATTAATAATTTCTATAACATCTGAAACCTAAAGAAAGACCTGCAATAGGCAGATTTAGCTCTTGCATAATGTATGTTTAAATAATAAATTTGAGTAGATTTCAGCGTCATCGATTAAACCATGAAAATTAGATATTGTCTGAAAAGTGGAAATTTTATGACGATCAGCGATTTAAAGACACAAGGCTTAACACGATCAGCGATTTAAAGACACAAGGCTTAACACTAATTCCTCGTGAAAATTCCATAATTTACATCTAAAACAAAACAACAGAAACATTTGACGACAAAATCCCATCAATAATACGTAATATCAACAACCCATTCCAATATTTACAACTAGTAAGGTGACACCAGTTTGATTTTCAGTTGTTTGGGGTCTCAATAAATAAAAAGCCACCATATAAAATTTCAAAACTTAAGAATTTGGAACTAAAAGTCTTTGAACCACACTGCCAAGTACTTTTGGTTGTTTAATTAGTCCCTTTCCAGAAAAGAGAGAGAGAGAGAGAGAAATGGGGGTTTAATGTCCACTCGATACAAACTAGGTCATTTTGGGACTAACATATGGTTCAATTTTATTTCAACAATCCGCTCGCGCGTAGGGATCTTTAGCAATGGGAGGGACCCGGAGAAAACTGACGAGGTGGGACAGGCAACCCTACTCCTTGTCACGTACAACCGGGGAATCGAAACCACGCCAGTTGACTCAATGACAGACTTTATGATACAGCGTGCGCATGCTAACCATTCGGCCATCCAACCCCATCCCCCTTTTCCTGAAGAAATAAAAGAGGGGAACCACAGTGGCTAAGTGGGTAAGACGCTGACTCGCTAGCCTGGAGGTCACGTGTTCGATCCCTGCATTGGCCGAGAAAGTTCATCATGATTTTCCAACGTGGTTTCGTCTTGTCAGTCGAGCAGAACGGAGGGCCTGACAAGGACAGCTGTCTATTTATTTGGATGGAACGAAAAAACCAAAGTCTATTGTATACATGGACGTGCACGTAAAAGACCCCTTGGCAGTTGGAATTCAATGTAAGAGTAGGCCATAGTGCCGCTGCCCGGGCAAAATTTCTCCCATAGCTCACTGTATGGCGTATGCCCGTCTTCATTAGCCCAGTCAGAGTAGAACAGTAGGACGTTAAACCCAAATTTCATTTTTGAAGAAATAAGAAGCAAGATTTTAACAGGTGTTTCCGAACAACAGAAAATCCATTTGGTCTAGCCTAACATCTGACTGTTCAAAATGTTCAAAATATAACAGTAACCCACGGCATTATTTTTACAAAACATATAACATCACTAAAAAAACATAAATATCTATTTCAATATATCTTACAGAGATGACATGTTGAAAATATATTTGGATTGACGTACGTTTAATTATATTTTATATAATTGAGAGAGAGAGACGTGACTTCCTGTCAACAGACTGCCGAGATCAAAACAGACCTACATCTATGACAGACCTTTTAATTTAAAATACATGGTTAGACCACCCACACCCAAACTGATTCTTTTATCTCTGATATTGGCCTTATTTGTTTCTAATTCAAAACAAAATATAAATGTATGGTCGCATCTGTAAATCGGAGATGGAGACAAAATGATAAAACCTTAAAAATGTCATTAAACAATAGGATACATAATGTTAAGGCTTGCAAACGGAACAGCCATATCACATTTAGCACAAGTGTTGGGGTTTCAGAATTTACTTTCTCAGACATTTTTACTGAAAATAAAGGGGCATAACTCTTATCAGTATTTAAGCAGGCAGTTTCAGACCACACACAAAAATTACGAGTCAACAAAATATTCAAGCCTTGTACACATCAAGTTTATTTTGTATCAGCCAACAGATAATCCTTGATCTATGGTAAATACATGAAATGGTATCAAAGATTGTCCACAAAGTTTTGTCGGCCATTTGCACTAACTATTGTTGCCGCGATATCGTGCAGATGGTTATATGTCGCGATAATCAGGTCAACCTATGAAATTATCATCTAAAATAACAAATATTGCGTTTTCGCGATAATCCAATAATTTATTTTAACAATAATGTGAGATATCACGATAAATTGTTTTAGTATCGTTGCAACCTTACTACTGACAAACAATTCATCACTATCAAACCATTGAAGTTTATACGTCTATTTCAAAATGCACACTTCTGTAACAGAGATTGTTTAATAAACAACATGTCACCATGACGGGGATGGAAATAGCCAGCGAAACCTCGATGACGAGACTCTCTACAGTCTGCAATGAGTTTTTTGCTAGACATGTTGTACATTGTACATGTAGCTGTTAAGAACTTAGGTTGTCGACATCAGCAGGCCTTTAAATTTCCAGGGATGAAAATTTGAATACAATTAAATATATATAATATATAGAATGTTGTAAATAGAATATGTTAATATATAAACTTAATAATGAGATATAACATGTTTTACATGATATTCTATGTAATTATCATAGTATAACCATATATATATACACACCAATATACAAAATATTACACAGCTTTACTTCATGGCTTCTATTTCACATATTTATACTGGTCAAGTCCAGGAACTTGGTCAATATGACTTAATTAGCATTCAGTCATCCGGAAGGGACCAAAAACCTGTGTACTCTATGTAAAAGAACCCTTGGCAGTTTTAATTACACAAAGAATAGGTAAAAAAAGTAGGATTTTAAACTCGATTTCATTTCATATTAATTTAACATGCTAGTAATTTATGAATTGAGATGCTATAAAATATATATTTTCATACAACTAACATAATTAAAACAATATAAGACCTCTTTGATTTGATCAGGCCTTAGTTTATTTATTTAGACATGAGACAGCTCTCTACAGTAAAAATTTGAATCTGGAGGTAAGGACAAAACTTAATCTAGACCATTCACAGTGAAACAAAACACAAAGTATATATAGATATAACTACTTATCTGTTGTTATCTTGAAATCTTACCTGTATATTTTTTATAAACTGTTGATATTAAATAATAGAGAAGTAGTTATATATATATATATATGTACCTTGTGTTGTGTGTTGAATAGTTAACGGTACTGCTAGATGTCATTTAAAGAATTAAATTAATTCCAAGACTGCGACGAAAAACCGTCTTACTATAGTTATAGTAGTGAGTGGAAGAATGCCTGGAAAAGTGCAGATCAGCGTGGTTCTCAGTGATACCATGGGGAGGCGAAAAGGAAGCAATTCGTTTTTAAAAATAATCCCAAATTATAATTCCCAGCAACACACTAGACACGTCGAGTAGAGAATTTAATTCCAGGATGCATATTTCTGATTCTGCAGGGGACAAAAGTATATGTGTGTTGTTGTTCTCAAATTTAAATATGTCTACTAAATGTACAAGTTTTACAATGTAGAAATAGAAACCCTGGTTTCATTCATAGCCCCATAATCATCACACATCTTCTACGGATGATTTCATTTCTTTAAATTCAGGAACTGGTATTTTCTTTTTATGGACTGCTGGAGGAGGGTCAGATAACTCTCTTTCTGGACTCGACCCGGGTGATTTATTACCAGACTCATCAACCAAGGACGGCCATTTTGCTGGTGTTTCAGATTTACAAAGTCTTTCATTCAAAGCTTTTAATGCCACTTGCCTGTAAATATATAATTATAATAAAATATACTCACTCCATTCATATAACATGTGGAAGATAATCCTGATCGTAAGTCACAGACAGTCCACTGGACACAAACTAGGTCATTTTGGGACTAACACATGGTTCAATTTTTTTTCAATAATTTGCTTGCACATAGGGGTCTGTAGCAGTGAGAGGAAACTGGAGAAAACCCACGCTGTTGGACAGGAAACCCTATCCTTTGTCATGTAAAATTAGGGAATCGAAACCATGTCAGTTGACTGAATGACAGACCTTATCATACAACCCCCAAGTCACAAACAAATTGGTTTTGAATTAGGATTTGAACATACCCAATGTTTAAGAATTCTGTTATTCCACAACCACTGAAGGCCTTATCACAAGTGCTGGCACGATACATGTTTGAATTCAATTTATTGTGTTTCAGCTTCTCAAGATTTGCGTATTGAATCACAAGACGCTGAATCGATGTATCGCGATACTTTTTTTATTTGTCGATTCAGTAAGTAACCGGTTACTCTTAATAATCCACGTCTCACATTAACCACAGGTACACAAACACTCTTAAAATGTTTTGGTGCTTATTTTTTATCCACATCAATATCGTGATATAGAAAAGTTTTATTTCTCCGACATTGGCAGGACTAAAAGTATCAATTATTCATTTATCTTGTTATTTTCTTGGTAAATATTGACCTGGTTATGAATTATGATACGAATTATATCGTAGTGCCCGAATTGCAATACGTATTGTATTGTGAACTGCAGTGGCAATACCCAACACTATTTTTCAACGAGGGTTTACCATTTGGAGACCTAAAGAGAAATGAAACGGTTTTCTGAGGAGAATATGACATTCAAATTCTAATCAGACCTTCTACTCCCTTCAGCTACATTATATACTCCTACATGTAAAACGATACAACAATTGGGAAATATTCCCCATTTTGTTTTGGATAGCTTTGTTTTTCATTGAGAATAATAAAGAGTTATCCTTGCATCACTAAAAAAGGCCCTGGACTGGACGGCGTAGTGGATGCTTATGGCTACCCCCCTGCATTCATTCCCTTGATCTGAAATGAAATGAAATGAAATGGGGTTTAACGTCCTACTGTTCTGCACCTAAACTGGGCTAATACAGTGTGCTATGAGGGAAATTTTGCCCGGGCAGCGGCGCTACGGCCTACTCTTACATCGAATTCCAACTGTCAAGGGATCTTTTACGTGCACGCCAATATGTACACGGGACCTCGGTTTTTCGTCCCATCTGAAAGACTAGACAGCTGTCCTTGTCAGGCCCTCCGTCCTGCATCATTGATAAGGGGAAACCACGCCGGAAAATCTGGATGAACTTTCTCGGCCAATGCAGGGATCAAACACGCGAACTCCAGGCTAGCGAGCCAGCCTCTTCGCCACTTAACCACCGTGATCCCCTCCCTTGATATGATATGTGCGTCTGTTGTTTGTGATTTCTGTATATTGTGTGTGATGTCCGTAAGTTTGTCTTGGGTAATTGTTTATGTGTGGTGCTGTCCTCCTGTGCTTACTAATTAATAAATTACCTTCGCCTCTCAGCATCTTGTGGGTCAGTACCAGGTAAACTTATAGTGATAGTTGTTGGTGAACTGACGTCATATCTACGCTGAGGTTTCTTACAAATCTTAATCTTTACAAAAGCCATAAAGACTGTATTGGATAAAACAGCTATAAATGGTTGTAACTGACTTGGAAAGAAACTGAAAAACAAATAGCAAATAACATGTTTTATCATCAGAAGTTTCTTTGTATTATTCGTATTCAGGCTTCAACAAATAGTGATCCTTATTGTTGTACCGGACAAAACGTTGTGCCACTAGCTAGTACCTGACATTTTTTACTTTGTGCCAGACTTGTATTAATAAAAAAAACCAGAAAAAAGACAAATCGTTGCAGGACCAATAGTATTATTCATCACCTGATGTTAGTCGATTCTAGCAGTGATTCATCGGTTAATTTGACACTAACCTAATGAAATGAGAGAGAAATGGGGATTAACGTCCACTCGATACAAACTAGGTCCTTTCGGGACATACATATTGTTCTATTTTATTTCAATAATTCGCTTGCGCGTAGCGTTATTTAGCAGTGGGAGGAAACCAGAGGATCCGGAGAAAACCCACTAGGTTGGACAGGTGACCCTATTCCTTTTGACGTACAACTGGGGAATCAAAACCATGCCAGTTGAATCAATGACAGACCTTATGATACAGCGTGCACGTGCTAACCATTTGGCCATCTTTTCTTATTGATACATATGATTATAAATTGCTTTTATTTCAATAATTCGCTTGCGTGTAGGGGTCTTTAGCAGTGGGAGGAACCGGAGGACCCAGAAAAAACCTTTGAGGTTGGACAGGCGACCCTACTCCTTGTCACGTACAATCAGGGAATCAAAACAACCTGAAATGATAAAAGTTTATCAGATATATTCGTACCTTGCAAAACTAAAATTGTCCGCCATATCTCCTCGGTTACCATTACTGTGTTTCTGATAAAATCTAAGATATATCCAGCTAACCATTATACCCCAACCAAACAGATATGGATATGGTCCATCGAGTAAACCAACTAAGCGTAACGTAATGGCAGTCAATAACAACAACAAAGGTATGTGAGTGTTTCGCAGCTTTCCGAACGGTGAAGTGAACAAAATATGGTCAGGCATCACTTGTTTAACGGCCACAGAAAACGCGGCAATGAATCCAGCGAGTCCGTAAATATGTGTTTCAAATAAATATTCATCATTTTTAGTTAGAAGATATTGGAATAGATAACAAAAAGATGTCAACAGTCCCACACAAATATTGACAACCGTGAAGAATAATAACATGTCCAGAGCTCCCCATAATGGTTCCAGTAATTTTCCGCACAATATAACCACTGCAATGTCTACTAAAACATCCCAAAAATGAAGTTCGACGAAGGCGTAAGTGAACAGAGAGTAGAATCTCCCGTTAGGAGGAATGACATAGCCAGGGGTGATCGTAATGTAGGGTATGGCCGATGAAATAAATGTGAGGAGATAGCCAACAGTTACGGTAACAGCTACAAATTTGACAACAACGCTGCTCTTGCCAAACGCAGCAGATAACTGCTCTTTACAAAACGTAACTTTACTATGAGCCATGGACGTCGCCATCTTGCATCTTGACGAAAACACAAATGACGTCAACAAACATTCCGGAAGTGTCCGTACAATTCTTAATCAAAGTTATTTCCCTTGAGCTGTAACTATTTCTTTAACTTTAAGCGCCACAGGCCAATGTAAAAAGTTACAAGTACTTCTATACTTACGGTATATAAACATTAGTAAAACGAGAAAAGAAATTTAAAATGATATTTTTGTGTGAAATAAACCCCTTTGTAGCCGGCAAAATAAAATGCCCGAATTCAAATGACTTTTGGTTTGGAGTCACTCTGAATTGTGACAATTTTTGGGCCACGATCATTATTTGTTTCACCAGTTTTTCGGACAGATTTTCCGGCGGACGGGTAAAGTGAAAAAAAATTAATTTTGGGGGAAAAAATATTTGCCTGGAACGAGTTTTCGAGCGTCGATCATTATTTAAGTTCTCAGTTTTTCTTTAAACTGACTAATAGATAAAACATTTAAAACCAGTGCAATAAACAGGTTGTTGCGCTACTCTGGAGTAGACGTTCTGCTTTATGGTTGACGTTGTTTTTCGGCCATTATCAATATTTGTTTTATCGATAAAAACATACGTACAAGGCTATACGTCACATGGGCCACTTCCAGGTTTTTGTATTCACGAGCGAAAATGGCAGGAAAACGTGGTAACTTGTGACAAATTCGGTGCTCGATGGCTGCGACGTCGAGCAATCAAAGACGGATTTTTTTTTTCGGCCATTTCTTTTCTGCCCCCCCCCCCCTCTCCCCCAAAATATGGAATGCAGGTATGCACAGAGAGTGGGTTTTCGTTTCCACATAAATGATGTAATATATATGACTACTTTCTAGATGCTGTCGATCATATCCCCAGACGCCGTGCTTCGAGCCATAGACGCTGGCTGATGCCCGACTTCCTATATTCTTGGGGGAAAATATAATTTGAAGACAAAAAGTACCCGGCAGCTCTTCTCGAAAGCTTAATGAAATTGAACCATGCTAGTCCCGAAATAGTTTGTGTCCAGCGGATGTTACAGCTCTCTCTCTCTCTCTCCCTCTCTCTCCCCCTCTCTCTCTCTCAGTGATGCAAACAGCAGCAAAACGAAGGGAAAGGTCTAGTCGTTCGAATGGGACGTAAAACCAAGGTCCCGTGTACACAATGGCCAGTGTGCACGTTACAGAACAATTGACTGTTGGATTTCAAACAATAGTAGGCCGTAGCGCTGCTGCCCGAGCAAGCAGTTCCCTCGTTTACCCACTGCATGACGCAGGGGCGTGGTGACCCATGATTTTGCATGAGGAAAAAGATCCCGCCCGTGCCCCCAAAACACAATACTTCTATCTATGTGTGTGTGTGTGGTGGGGGGGGGGGGGGGGTAATTGGGCTGTGTGGAACATGCTAGAGTCGATTTATAGCATATCTGACTCATGGTATATGTTTGATACTAGTTAAGCATTATGATGCTGAAAACCGCATTGAAACCGCGTGAGTTTTTGCCATTTGTGAGGGGGCACAAAAACCCAAGGGGCGCAGAAACTCAAAACCATGACGCAAAGCTCGTCATTGCGACCATCTTACTTAGCCCCTAACATGGCGTATGTCAGATTGTATTAGCCCAGTCGGTGCAGATATTTAGGACGTTAAAACACGTTCATTTCATATTCTTTTACGTGCAGGTAATTATATAAATATCCGGAACGATAACCAATCACAGCCTCGACAGGTATAATAAAGTATGGGTTAAATATGTATATTCACCGAGATTCTGCTACCAACCGTGTATTATAAAGTATGGGTTAAATATGTATATTCACCGAGATTCTGCTACCAACCGTGTATTATTAAGCATGAGTGATATGTATATTCACCGAGATTCTGCTACCAACCGTGTATTATTAAGCATGAGTGATATGTATATTCACCGAGATTCTGCTACCAACCGTGTATTATAAAGCATGAGTGATATGTAAATTCACTGAGATTCTGCTCCCAACCGTGGATTATAATAAACTATGGGTTATTTGAATAATCACAGAGATTCTGCTACCAACGATGGATTGTGAAGTATGAGTTATATGTATATCACCGAGATTCTCCGACCAACCGTGTATTATAAATCATGAGTTAAAATGTATATTCACTGAGATTCTGCTACCCACCATCAAGAGTTCTTTGTCTACTCAAGGTGCGTTATTAAACGATTACACACAATAATCTGTGTGCTGTATATTGATCTCTTTTAAACATTGTATATTGCAAGGTGTGGGTTACATGTGTATTTAATATGATATAAGGGATCAATTCGATATTGCACAATGGTCAGTGGGGTCGAATGGCAAGGATTTTGAAATTAACGGGCAGCAGCGATTCCGTCTCCTAGAATTCGAACCGTCAATGGTTCTTTGACGTAGACGACTGCATGGACGTAGGGTTTTCTTACCATGCGAACGGTAGGCCTATACACACTTTCCTTGCCATACTCGCAGACGCCAGCTTTGGCAATTTTAAGCGGGACCCGAGTTTGAAAAATCCCGATGGTTCGTAAAAATCCAAGACATTCTAGTCGATGCCATAACAGGAGCCACGGTGGCTAAGTGAGAAAGACACGTATACGTGTTCTCTCCCGGCGTGGTTTCAACTTGTCAGTTGTCTAGTCATTCGGATAGGACGATAGACCGAGGTCTTGTGCTTAAATTGACATGCACGTTAAATATCCCAAGGCAGTTGGAATTCAATATAAGAGTAGGCCATAGTGCTAGGCAAAATAGCACACGTATGTCCGTCTTCATTAGCGTAATGAGAGCAATACAGTAGGAAGTTAAACCCCATTTCATTTCATTCTAGTCGAGGTCACCACATTTCCTTATTGCTCCACAGCGATTGTCAATTGGAATCTTATTATGCAGACTAGATAAAGTTGAACGAATTCTAGCATTGACTAATGCAGATATTTCAAAAAGAAAACAATTATTTAACAGTTGTATACTTGAACTCTAACCCGTTCACTGCACGTGCAATTTGGGAATATGAGATTTGGGCTATATCTAGGCGACTTTTCATCCATTAATTCAAATTTAGTTTAATTGTATTTAATAAAATTTCAAACCAGCAGGTCGCCATTTCAACGATTCCCAATTTTTATGGAGAACAATATTAATTAAAAATGCAATTCAACACGGTCTCTATAAGCACGCGTTTAAATTTTATTGCAGACTTTTACTCCATAATTTGGCACGCCTCTCTTTGCATCAATCAAGCTGGGTCTGTTACACAGAAAGAACAGTTATGGTTGAACTAGAGTGAAAGCATGCTGCGCGATGCACGCTGACTATTTCATTAATGTTTCGAGGTATTTTATTGTGTTGACATTGGTAGCTGTTTGAAATCTTTGTGCGTTCATGATAAAAGTAAACCCACAAAGATGGCCTCGTTTGTCATCTAACGGAATGTTCTCTCTTTCAAACATTGGAAACTGATGGCTTTCAAAGTAAAACTTTTGGACACGGTTCTGTGAGAAAACAACCCATTCATTTCAGAGTGACTATTCAATGTGGAATTTGATGGCTGTTTTGTTCAACGTTCAGGTTAATCTGGAGAAGTTGGAGATGCTGTGACGATAAAGGTAGGAATTATCATATTTCTTCTTTGTTTTATAAAATTATTTAACAATTTGTGGATTTACAAAGTAAATGGTTAACATATTCGTGAAGCAATGGGCCGAGACATCCATTGGATTAAGAGGTATTAGGGACAGTATCAACCGTAACACTGCGAGGAGCAGATGCTTGATAGATGGATATATATTTATAACATAAAACACCCTTTTTGGGACAGTATGTAAATTATACTTAATAACATAATATTAGGGATGAAAATACACGAAAGTATAAAAATGAAAAATAAATCTTTATAATGGTTAATGGAGAAAAGTATAACGTCCATGGGGGTTATATAGTTGTCTACAGAGTATGAGATATTTGGCATCAGTGTTATTCTAATTCCTGCAAGTTTCTCTGCTGAACTATGACAAGGATCTTGCTATCTGAACAGGTGACAAGGGTCTTGCAATCAGAACTCATTTGATTAAATGGGGATTAACCCCAGGCTTCCAATCAGTGGACAGATTCTCACAACAGGCACTTCATGATATTTAAATTGTCCAATTGTTCGGACATTGATTGATTTGAAGATTAATTCTCATTCCTGCAGCTGACCTGTCCAGATAACTCCCGGCCATGCAATCAGTCCACTGAGGCACTGTGATGACCATTAGATTGGTCTGTTGTCTGAATGCTGATTGACTGCCGGTCAGTAACAATAGAATATTGACCAGTATCATCTTTTGCAGCATGTGATCTTGTATTGTGGGCAAATCTCAGTCAAGGTCATTAATCTGATTTTAGAGGTCAAATATTGGTCAGCTGTTCAGAACCTTGTTTAACTGTTTTTAAAGGGATTGTCTTTAATCTATATTAGGATGTCTTTTACTGAAATTTCTTGACATGAAATAATTTTATAAACAATTAAAAACATGGAGTAAAGTTTAAACATGTATTATTCAAGAGCTAAATCTGCCTATTGCAGGTCTTTCTTTAGGCCTGAAATGTTATCTAAACTATTAATTAGACATTAATTAACTTACCAAGACCATAATCAACTCGCGATGCCATTGGATGTCTGTGATGCTTAGTGGTTTTGAATACATTTTGTGACTGACACGTTAATGTAAAAATGGATAATCAAGACTTTGTTTATTATTATACCAACAGATGAAGACATTGTAATTTGAAATCTATACAGTAGAAAATAACTTCCCAGACAAAAACAACTAGTTTCATTCTTTTGCAAAATCTCCAGACTTAAGTGACTCAAACTATCCTTGGATCAAGATGTAACAGATTTGAGTCAAAATAATTGGTTAGTCACCAATCCCAATCGAGCAATTCAACATATCATTGTAAATAGTAGATACTAAACACAATTGAAACATTTTTGTACTTTTAGAAATGAAATGAAATGGGGTTTAACAT